AGTTATTAAATGTCCTTTCAACATAATCAAAATATATATTATATCAACAATAAGAAAATTATGCCGGGTAGCATATCATATAGAGGAGTCAGTTATACTGTAGAAGTACTTTTTTCCACGGGGTCATTAATTCCGCGAAATCTCAATTTCTGTTTAATCCGCGTGTAGAAAATTACGCGGATTTCCTAGACTGCCACTATATGCCTTACATTTATATTAAGAATGCGTGGACAAATTTCCGCGGAAAATTTGTGACCGCGTACTTAGCGTAAATTAATACCACGCGGAAAAAAGTACTTCTACAGTACCTCAGTGATTCTTGACTTTTTCTGATCCAGTTCAGAGTTCATTTCCTGTACAAATCTCTCTAACGTGTGCACCAGCATGCCTGGAACCTGTTTGGTGACTGGATCTGACTCAAAGTACGGTTTTCCCCGCCTGCGTTCCACGTCCACCAGGATGAGTCGGATCTGATTCAGGGCCGTGTCTATTAAATACTTCTCTCGGCTCGTGCTCTCTAGTTTCCTGTTGGCCTCCACCAAAGCCTGCCAATAATATTTATTGTAAATGTGAACCAAGGACAAAAGATGACAAGATTTTGATCTCAGTCTCTCATCAAAATCTTGTCTTGGTTTTATGGTCCCAAAGCCTGAACTTGACTGACTCTTTATCATAACAACTTTCTTAATGACAGTGTAAATTGTATTTCAATACATGTATTGATATATTACAGATCTACTGAATAACAATAAAATATAGAAAATTAATTAATACAAAATTATAATTTTCATTATAATACATGATTAATTTCTTTTTTTTTTAAGGTTAAATTTACTACGACCTTTTCCCTATTCTGTGACCTACCTCCTCTTGACCCCTCAGTTTTTCCTGTAACTGCTGTATGGTTACTTGGAATTTGTTCAGCATCATTTCCTGGTTAGACGATTCCTTTTGTCTACAGAACACAATGAAACAAGTTTTTGAATGATGCACTGGTTCCATGTATATAACAGAGAATGGGAGTTTTGATTTTTTTTTTGAAGTTTTGTTAATATAAATTTTCTAATTTTGTATTATGAAGGGCATAGAGTGGCCATAAGAAATGTAAATATTAAATTAATATATAAATCTATAAATTTACCACGAATCCACAAATTTTATTAAGTTTAACAGTTCTGAGATTAGATGCAGCAGGTAATTTCTAATAATAATGTACTTCTGCACTCTGGTTTGCTGTTGATTCCTCTGCATTTGTTCGTTAACCGTGAGTAATTAGTTAAGTCAAACAGAATTCTTGCATATTGATTAAGGCTGTAATTTCTCCTGAATGGGAGACGAACAGTACATCCTGGTACTAATTAGGACAAAGCAATTAAGTAACTCTTGACGGTGACATGTATTAGTGAGACAAACATTGAATTCCAATCATTGCTGTACCATGACACATAGTTAACATTTAATTTCTTTCAAATTCATGAAAGCTACTTTTCTGTTTCTATTCTGATCAGTATAATTTATGTCTTGATTATTGTCTGACAAAACTAGACAAAACTATTGAAAATACTATAAATACTGTACCCAGTGAAGTAAAAAGGACTTCCACGTCTAAAGAGAATTGCATATTCATAAATGACTTTAAAAAAAATTCAATTTTGTTTAATACTTCTCATTTTTCTGCTCAATTATATGTGATTCTTCAAACTGCTGTTTAAAAAACTTGAGAACACTTGTGAAATTCATCAAAATGACTCATTTTTTGGAGAGAGCTAGTGCATGAAAGAAAAATTTTTGTGTGCATCTACAAATACATGTATAAACTACTTACACTGAATACTTAACAAAGTCTGTTATAGACTTCTGTCTGAAGACATCAAAAGCACACAATTCAGAATTCAAAATTCATAAATATTTCCTTCCCTAAAGGAGAGGTTTCGATAAGACTATTCCACGGCCCATGGTTTTAGCAAAAAATGAAATTGGACTCTTTGTCATTTTAAAGTTGGATTCAGGATCTCCAACATTTATACCTTTATGTTCTATATTTGTTTTCGGGAAAAAAGTAAGGAATATCTTGCAAGAGATGGGGGAAATATGGTACCCTTAATCACAGTAACATTGTGAATATGGGAAAAAATTATAGGATTATGCTGTTCAACCTTCTGGTACACCACGTGTTGCATTCTGAACCAAAACCATATTTTGAGTAAAGATTACTTACATGCACAGAAGCATTATACAGAAGTATCGTCATGGTTCGCAGTGCAACACGCACTTAGATATTAATTTCTTTGAAATTATGCAGTGATGATGAATTGTGGTTTATTCTTAGAAATATTCAAAGACATCGATACGCGATAATAATAAGGGGGTAAATGGTTAACCAGGAGAACAAATTTAGTTTTTTGTCTTACATAAAAGAAAAATTGAAAAAAAAAGTTGGACTAAACGTGTCCGTGTGTCTGTCTGTAAGGAACATAAACATTACAGGAATTAGAAGCTCGAGTTGCATTCTGTGTTTGAAAAAAACTAATTTACAAATTTTAACTTATTGGTTTACCCGAAACATTTTATTTTATTTCATAATATAGAATTATATATTTATATACTTGATCAATGTAATCAAGAGTGAATGTTAATTATGGTTATTGACCCAGATATTTCTGGAATGGGAGGTCCCTGACCCAACCTGTCAAAAGGGCGCTCATATTTCTCTCCGTATGGGTGAAACAGCGACAAAGAAATATATTTCTACATCTGGCTATTGAGGAAAAATAATCTTGCGAGATTGTGGATCCAACACATATCTTTGGTGTAGAAAGAACCTTTGTGAACTGCGACTCTGGACTAGCAACCCAGATGTCAGGGGAGAGCTTCCGCATGGTCAGCCCTGGGAAGATGCAGAAATGTACATGACTGTAGACATACTGACGCTCTCTAAATGAGTAGCTGATGGAGCTGTTGAGGGTCATGTAGCTTTCTATGGAGTGCCGGTGAGCGGGAATAAACATGAGAAAAATCTCGGTTCATATGTAAAAAATGCAAAACAGCGGGTAAGGTTTTTTGCAAATGTGACAGAGTCCTGGCTTTAATTGCCTCAGCCGTGCTGAGTACGCAATCCGGACCTGAATGTGGGCAAATACCTCTTAAACAAAATTATGGATAAATCACTCTCTATTAAATGTTGTTTATGCAAAACATTTGTAAGGAAAGACAGAAGAAAAGTAAAAGATATAGCAAATACAGAGCTGCAGAGACATGTTTCTCAAAAACTTGAAAACATGAACAAAAAAGCAAATTTTGACATCTGTATAATATGCAATCGATGTCGATGTGAGTTTTACAGGGAGCAAAGAGCAGAGGCAACAAAACCTGAAGCATCATCTGTACAAATGGAAGGCCATGATTTGCAAACATCAAAACCTTGTCTTGCAAGTCCAAAGCGAATATGCTTATCAATCCCTCGGACTAGTTTGTCCCATAATAAGTGCCAGTTTTGCAAAGGCACTGACGATTTGAAGAACATCAGCAAAGAGATAAGGCTGAAAACATTTATTGATAGTGGGACGTTGATTCCTGATGGGGCGAGATGTTGCAAGCGTCACCTTACAGATGATGGGGTCAATGCTGACGTAATGAAAAGGCTGTTGCCAACATCAGATTTTACTAATTTCAATAGAACTGAAATTACAAGCATGCTAAATAGCTTGAGGGAGAAATGCAAAGAGAGAACAAATGGTGTAGACTTTGACGATCAAGCAGCACTGTCTGATGAAGATTATTACAATTTGACCGGCGTTACCAAGGCTCAGTTTGACACACTTTGCTCTTACTTGACCCCACTTAGAGACTCTAATAACAGGTCATCAAGAACATGCTTGGCTTTGTTATTGACAAAATTAAGAACTGGAAATTCATTAAGTTTTCTAAGCAGTATGTTTCAAATCAAAAATAAAAGTGTCATTTCAAGATCTATTGCAAGTGCAAGGAATGCCTTGATGGAACATTTTGTTCCCAGGTATTTAGGATTTGAACACATTACAATGGAAGATTTTATTTCAGAGCACACAAGACCCTTTGCTCAACATCTTCTTGCAGATGGGAAACAAATTGCTATTCTTGTATTAGATGGGACATATGTTTATATCCAAAAGAGTGGTAATTACTCATTTCAAAGACAAACATTCAGCGGACATAAACATAGACCACTGGAAAAGCCAATGATGATTGTTGGTACTGATGGGTACATTCTTGCTGTTTTAGGGCCTTATCTAGCCGATGGACGGAACAATGATGCGGCAATTTTAAAGAGCATCATTAAACAAAATGTAGATGAAATCCAGACTTGGCTAGAGAGAGATGACCTTTTAGTTGTTGACAGGGGCTTCCGGGATTCAATTGGGTTTCTCGATTCTCTTGGAATCAACAGTGAGATGCCAGATTATCTTTCTCGAGGTTCCAAACAACATACGACAGAGGAGGCAAACCACTCCCGATGTGTCACAAAGGTAAGATGGGTTGTGGAGTCCGCGAATGGTCGAATAAAAAAATGGAAAGCATTAGATCAGGTATTTCCAAACTGCCAAATCAAATGGATAGGTGATTCTGTAAGAATAGTATGTGCTATTGTCAATGCTTTCCGGCCACCTTTGGTATGTGAAGAAAACAATGACATCGCTCTTGCAAACACAATGAAAGTCCTCTCACGTACTTCAAATGAGTTACAAAAACGGGTCGAAAAGGAAAAGTTAGCCAGTAGACGAGTAGTGTGGACTGAAATGTCCCAGGATTGCTTGCAGAACTTTCCACGTTTGACTGAAATTGACTTAAGAACGTTAACTCTCGGAGTGTACCAAATAACCCAGGCAAAATCTTATACCCAGGAACACTTGTCTCCAGATGGAACTTATAGCATATCAATTCACAAAGATGATGCTGGTTTGCTGAGGGCAAGAATTCAGTCACGTCATGTTTCAGCAAAAAGATATTTTCTGTGGATATCATTTGATGAAACTAGCACACCCCCAATTACTGGATGGTATTGTCAATGCAAAGTAGGCGCGAGAACGGTCGGTTGTTGTGCACATATCGCTGCAGTCATTTGGTACCTGGGATTTCAACGTCACAGTGTCGATAGGCTTCTGACCCCGACCGACTACAAAGAATTTATTCTAGATGCTCCAGACACAGACTGGGATTCAGATGATGAATCTCTAGAATAAACATTGTGTATTTGTATGCATCCAATTTTTATGATTAAATATTATTATGCATGATTAAATGTGTTTTAGATCTACAATAAATCATAACATTTTGTAATATATTGCTTTTATATTTGATTTACTTTTTAGCATCGATTTTTCATGTACCATGTGTAAATAGATTTCTTTTTCTCCTTTTAGCGCTCGTTATATTTGAGTATTTTTATATTTTGGATTTATTTTACAATAGCATAAAACAAACTTTTAAGTGTAGCGATCGTTCGCTTCAGCTATGCATTTTATAATAATTATGATAGACTTTTATTGAAAATTCACTTTGTTTATGTTAATTCTTTTTGTTAAGACAGATATTAACTTCATTTCCTCTTTTGTCGTACCCTTGCAAACAATTTATAAATAGCGAATAAAGAGCGTACATATTTTTTTTTGTAATAAGTTTAAAGCTTTCAACGTAGAGAGCTATTTCAGGGGAAACATAACTTAAAAAGAAATATTTGTGCTACTTTAACATTATTTTATGTCCTATGATAATTTTTGATTGATTTTATTCTATTACACATATAAAGTATTCAACAAAATTATAATGGATCTTCTAAACCATCTAAAATGCTTTTTGAGAGACCCTTAGAAACCCCTGAGTCACGTGATTAATAAATGCTGGTTTAGCAATTAAATTATGAAATATGATAGAGAAGACATTAGTCAGTATTATTAAACACACTAAAATGAAATTCACCATGGGCCGAAAAATGGCCTTATCGAAACATCACCTTTTTAAAATCCTTTCAAATGAAATATGTACATGTGTAAATCCATGTACAGTGAAACCTGTCAAATCCGACATCCACTAGGAAATAAATTCTATGTCGAAATAGACAGGTTGTCTGATTGCACAGTGTGAAAATTCATGAAAAAAATTAAAATGGGACAGAAATTAAACATCGGAATTCACAGTGTGACATATTGCAAAGATTTCAGATTAAACAATTTTCACTGTATAAGTAATAGTTACATGATGACACAAGATGATGCATACAACAGTTGAGTTATATTGTATGCGAAGAGGCGTTAGCCTCTGAGTTTGCAATAACGAAACAATATTTTGTATGCATCATCGAGCTGTCAATCATATAACTGATTTATCCCATGACACTTCATTTGACCCTTTCCCATATTTGGTATTTTCTTTGCATCAACTAATAAAGACTCTGAAACAGAAACATGTGATAGTCTTAACGTGAAGGGTTTTTGGTATCCAAGTAACAGATTTCCAAATTAGGTAATTTTCTTAATACTGCACCACGTGACCAATTTTTTGAGAAAATCCATTCATTTGTTCTATGATTTGACAAAGATGACGGAAGGAGTCTAGCGTAAAGAATTACCATTTTTCAGCAAGCCTACGACGATGATAATTTTCAATCGAGTCATGCAGGCAGTTCGGATGTATGAACTCAGTCAATCGAATTTAAATGGCCCATGTGTTCAGGACTTTAGGAATTTTGATTTACGGAGTTGGTGTTTGGAATCGTTTCCGGAATTGAAAGAAACGGGAAAATTTTACAGAATGGACTGAAAATAATAGATTCAAAAAACGTGTCGGCCAGTGAAATGTGCTTAAAAAACCAAGAAAGTAAAAGCACGCGCCGCAACACTTCATGGGCAGTTAACATGGTTCAAGTGTTCAACTGGAAATCTCAGTGAAACAGCACCTTGGTGAGTTTAAAATAATTCCCGAAATACTCACTAGTAAATACCAAGAACTTGATTACACTATATCATGTTTTGTACACTGTAATTGAAGCCAGGCATGCAGATGGTTTGCCCTACCCCAGAGGACTTTATATCAAATCTGTTCCAATATTCTATGGTACGAGAGCAAGGTGTTCATGATATGAACTTTTCAGAGGATGCTGAGAAGGAAAATTCTACAACTGAATGTGCGAATTCCTATGGGAGATAAAGTTATTTGCTTCGAGAATTGCTCCACCGGACTGTTCAATGTCTTTTTTGTCAAGATTTGTGCATTTTGATTTAAAATTGTGTTATCTGTTCCAGACGAGCCAGGAATTTAAATTATTAATATTAAAGACATATCATTATTAGTTGTGTGAAAGTTGATATGTTTTCTGCTTTTTTCTTATTTTGGTTGGTTCATTAAAATCTGGAAACGAATTTTTGTCTCATTTGCATAGCTCCTCCTACACCCATGGTCTAACAGTTGGATATCACTAGCTTTATATCACATATGTGATATTTAATATATCACCACACTTATGTTGATATGAGAAATACACTTTTGTGAAGATCATAGAAAAATCAGTCGGTCATGGGATAAGTAATAGTTACATGATGACACGAGATGATGCATACAAAATATCGTTGAGTTATTGCACGCGAGGAGGCGTTAGCCTCCGAGTTTGCAATAACTCAACGATATTTTGTATGCATCATCGAGCTGTCAATCATGTAACTGATTTATCCCATGACCCTTCATTTGACCTTTTCCCATATTTGGTATTTTCTTTACATCAACTAATAAAGACTCTGAAACAGAACCACATGATAGTCTTAACGCGAAGGGTTTTTTTGGTATCCAAGTAACGGATTTACAAATTTGGTAATTTTCATAGTACTGTAACAAGTGATCAATTTCTTGAGATAATCAATTCATTTGTTCTATGATCTGGCGAAAATGGCAGAAGGGGTTCAGCGTAAAGAATCGTCGTTTTTCAGCAAGCCTACGACGAGGATAATTTTCAATCGAGTCAAGCAGTTCAGATGTATGAACTCGGGCGATCGGATTTAAAAGGCCCATGGGGCCAGGACTTTATGAATTTCGATTTACAGTTTCCGGGATTGAAACAGGAAAATTTTACGGAATGGACTGAAAATACTAGATTCAGAAAACATGTGTCGGCCATTGAAATAAGTGCGCTTAAAAAATCAAGAAAGTAAATTCACGAGCCGTAACACTTCATGGGCAGTCAACATGGTTCAAGTGTTCAACAACTGGAAATCTCAGCAAAACAGCAACTTGGTGAGTTTAAAACCATTCCCGAAATACTCGTTAGTAAATACCAAGAACTTGTGTACTTTATATATCACATTTTGCACACTGTAATTGAAGCCAGGTGCGCATATGGTTTCCCCTACCCCGAGGACTTTATATCCGATTTGTTCCGATATTCTACGGTACATGAGAGCAAGGTGTTCATTATATGAACTTTTCAGAGGATGCCGGGAAGGAAAATGCTACTATTGAATGTGCGAATTTCTATCATGGGAGATGAAGTTATCCGCTTCGAGAATTATGCTCCGCCTGACAGTGTCGATGTCTTTTTTGTAAAGATTTGTGCATTTTGATTTAAACTGTGTTATCTGTTTTGTTTTGTTTTTCTCTTGTTTTTGTTAGTTCATTAAAACCTAGTTCTAAACGAATTTTTGTCTCATTTGCATAGCTCCTCCTACATCCGGAGTATAACCGTTGGATATCACTAGCTTTATATCACATATGTGATATTTAATATATCACCACACTTATGTTGATATGAGAAATACACCCTTGCGAAGATCAAAGAAAAATTTGTCGGTCATGGGATAACTATTATAATTACATGGACCAACAGTTGCTCAGATAAGAGGTTTCAAAAGAAATGACAATACACACCTCTTGTAGCCTCCTTCTGAGATCAGTGACTTGTTCCTGGGAGTCTTTGAGAGATTTTTCTAGATGAGATCTGTCAAAATATGAACATACAATCAACAAAGTTCTATTAAGGTCACACCATAAAGGTTCTCAAGACTATGCAATTTTTCCAAAAAATTTCATAATACATACATGTACATGAGAAGACCTACTACACATTTTACATTTCTAGATACATGTATTACTGTCCGTCGGATGGAACATAAACGGTCAAAGAAACCTAAGAACTTTCAAAACCTTTCATACAGTATTATAAATGATACAGCCAAAATACGGCTGCAATATTGTTGACCTGGCTTAAAACAACAATAATCAATCAATCAATCAATCAATCACTGTGCAAACATACGGAGGTCCACTGTAGTCATAATGTGCCCTCCTGGCAGAGAAGAGCTCGGTGGAGGGGAGGGTGGAGAAGCCGGTTTTGGAGGGACTGCTGGGAAGTCCACTGTGCATGCTGCCAGAGCTCCGCTGAATACTGGTAAAATCCCCCGACAACTGCTGCTGTAGTCGCTCCGTCTCCTTCCGCTGGGCATCCAGCTGGGTTCTAAAAATAGAAGCAGGGTAGTAGGGGTTAGCGTATTATAAATTGTATAATAAATCCAATGTTTTAAGATGAGTACATGACAGATTTGAGATGATATATTATTAAACAAACTTTACCTAAGATCTGCAATGGTTTTCTGTTCATTGGAAATATCAATCAGGGCAGAGAGTGTAGCTGGTGAGGTCGGTGTGATGGGGGGTCGGGAAACTGGGGTGTACTGAAAACAGAAGTCATCAAGGACATATCAAAACTGCTCGCAGAATCTGCATGATTAATTAGTGTAAAAGAACTAACTGAAATGGATGTTGTCACATCATGTCTCAAATATGCATAAAATTCATTGTAAAACAAACATTATTTGAATTGGCCACAAGACATGTATTAAAATTTAACTAATTTAAAATCACCTTTCTTTTTGTAATGATAGATATTTAAAATTAGTAACTGTCATAATAAATACATCACCTGCTAGGTAGCTTCCCCCAAAATTTGATTAAACATGAATTTTAATCTAAATTTGGAAAGAAATTGCAATAAAAATCTCAGAAAACTCAATTTTTTCTTAAACTATTATAAAATTAATTAGATGTGTAAATCAACACCTAAAAATACTCTAAGGTTTCATTTATTAAAAGTGCAAGTAAACACTTACTCATACTTTCTATATTTATAATAATTCATTCAGTGCAAGGAGAAATATTATAAAAGATATTTAATACAGGTGTAATTTGCATCCTATTTGATACACGTAATGGACAAGGTAATTTAATTAAAACAATTATGCAATTTTATTTATGCAACAGATTTATGTCTGTGCAGTGGCATAACTCATAAGACCAATTGCCTTTTGAACTTGAAACAACTAAGTTTGACCTTAACCTTAAAAGTGTTCGACCTTGATCAATTCCCCTCTATCCTCCCCTTTTTCCCCGATATGAATTCACCATAGTAAGAAAAGATATGGCATTGGATTGATTGTTTAAAAGAGAGAAATTATCTATAACCTCAAATTCACATCTACAGTGCACAGAACTTTTTTACATTGCTTTTTAAGTATTTACTAATCAGCAATATGTGTCAAACTTTTTTATTAAACAGGTATTCAGACTTATGACCTTTCTTTGCCCCCCTATGATTACTATATTTCCTTGTATGTGGTCTGGGGAATATTACCTGTCCTGGATCGGATGACGACTCGATGCCGTTAAATGAGGAAACACCTGAAAAGAAATTGCAGATATGAAATAACTGGGCCACTTTGGTGCCCACTTATCTTTCTATAGCAGTAAAGTGGTCTTATTAAGGTCATTGGCAACGCAGGGTTTCCGGAGAAAAAAGGTTTATACCCAGGTTTTTTTCATTTATAAAAATAGTCATTGAGAGTGATCTCCCGTATGGAATTCTCTAGGCGGTGAAAACCAATAAAGCGTGTGTTACAGATTGAGAGGTAAACAAAAGCACGTGTGTGTGTTTTATATGATATATTCAACTCTACAATATTAAAAGAATAGCAGAGATGAGTTTGTTTACATTGTGCTGAGGGGGCAGACAGTAAACAGGTCGTCATTTAGAATAAGTACATGTATGCTGGGAAGTGCAAAGAAGTGACATAATTATGCTGAAAGTGTTGATAGCTAGGTAGGCCAGATGAGAACGATTCTATAGGTTTTGTGAAGGAGGCATCATTAAAAGTTAATAATAAATTCTTGCAAAAATGTTCAATGACAGTTCCTTTCAAATAAAGTAAATTATAGTATAGAAATAAACAACTAGTCTCTTGGTCATTATGAATAATAATTAGATGTTAAGGGAAGTAACTCAAAATCAAAGAACAGTGCTGGTATTTCTGTGTTTTGTTTCTATAATTGCAATTTGAGTCAAAGTATATATTTTTCACCAGAAATGAAGATTCAACAATGTATTTTATGTGTAAACTTTATGAAATAAATGGGTTTTAGAAAAATCTTATGGTTAAAAATAATATAGGACCACTTAATCAACATTTTACATAGGAAATGCATTGAGAATTGTAAAAACATTGATTTGTCAAAATCTTTAAAGAAAGGCTGGCTTGATGGGTAAAAAGGACCAGAATTGAACATGTTTAGTACCATTAAACCTGTTCAAAAGTTCTTGAAAAATTTTATACAAAATCCAGAAACGTTGCCAATGTCCTTAAACTACACCTGTCACATTTTAAGGAGGACTCTTATGAAGTTTAAACAAAGTTTATTACTTGTCCTACAAATAAAATTATTGTGTAAATTGCAAGATGGAAGGTGAGATAAAAAAATTCCCCTGACATAAATTGCATTGGAAACAGCTGGTAGGTTGAACAATTGCAAGAGGTGGTTGATGTAGAAATGATAATTAATGAGTTTTAAATAAACCATAAAGTAATTCAAAACAATTATTGCTATACGAGGGACGTTCAATAAATAATGTCATCAGCTCCGTGACATACAACATAGAAATCATATGACATTAAGCTTTACTTTTCCTAATTATTGAATCTTTAATGAATTGATAACAGTTTATGTGACCACTTTTCATCGCATAATTTCATTGTGGGAAGCTGGAAAACAAGGGCTACTCGAGACACTGCGGTAAAAATGGATGGTCAAGAATCAATAAATTAGAGTAAAATTGAACGCGTCATTAAAGCTGCTGTAAAACTTGTTAATTTCCCAAAAATACATTAACGGAAATATGTGAAATTTACAACAACTTATGTCTGTTTCATACACACATGAACAGGTGGATTTCAATTAACAAATATTATATAATGGGCATCAAAAATGGGTACCCTCCTTGTGAACAAGGACATGCAACAACTAATATATATTTGCGATAATTCAACAAATTATCACAGATTATCTTTTATTGACTTTAAGTTACATAGCAAATTTGATAGACATCATATCGGGGGTAGGTCACACTGTTTTAAAGAAACATTTGATTGTATTAAAGTTTAATACTCAAATGTCACCCTATATTTATAAATATCAGTGAAAACGAGAGCGTGTAGAAAATCTAAACAATTATATTTAAAAAATCAAATATTGTTCTTATCCACATTTTTCTGAAATTCAAACAGATCATGAAACTTGAATCCATTTTGCGTTAAGCCCTCAAAACAAATTTAGAATAAGATGTACTTGACAAAACTGCAAAGGCCTAAGAAGAGCAAAAATTTGCAAGAACACAAAAACAGTTTTATACGCTATTTTCTTAAATATTAGCGGTCTTGTTGTTCAAATACATATACAGGTAGGCAGTTCAATTTCTGGAGGAGTCTAGTAAGCAAAATATTTGCCAAAAAATCGAAAGGTTTTTGAGAGGAAGGAAACAGAATGAGGAATTCACTACATTAAATTTCTTCCTGACAGCGTCCAAACCCACAGGCCATGAAGAGTAAAGGAGTTTTGGGGTAAACAGAAAGTTAATGTTTTGTCACATCAACAATATTCGCCAGATCTTTCAATCTTTGACTTGTTTCATTTCCCAAACTTAGGAAAACACCTTTCAGAAAGAAAATATCAAGTACAGCAAATCATAGGATCTGCAATTTTCCAGTATACGAAGGGTCATACTCAAAACTGTGTTCTAAAAACAATAAGAAATTGAATAAAAATTTTACGGACATGCCTTTTAATTAAAAGAGAATATTTTAGTTGAATCATTAAGACAAAATCATAGAAAAGCTATATTTGTTTCTTTCCGAGCCCCAATGACATTATTTATTGAACGCCCCTCGTAAAATTCACTACACACATTCATATTTCTTGTATGTTAATAATATAAACATCCGAATGCTATTAATGTCTGGAGGCCATGTTCCAGTCGATTTATTATCAAGTCTGAACACAAGTCTGAGGTTTCTACCTGATCTAAGTGATATGTTTGTGTGTAAAATAATGCTGTTATGTCAATCAAATTCATGTTTTGTGCTATCGGTAATAACAAGTCACTTCCTTTTTTTGTGTACACAAAGCTCGACTCCCCCTAAACCACGGTTATAATCACTAACTCTGTTAATTGGAGTAGATTTTTTAACACAGTTAACCTATCCTTGCTAAGCAGTGGAATAATTTCCTGTTCTAAAAATACACTTCCGGAAAATCCCAGCTTGAGTGGTCAAAGTACAGGTCTTTCCCCCAATTTTTTCTTGTGAAATCTGAAATCTACAGACTTATTCCTGGCAGTATTAATAGAAAAGTAAGTAAAATTGTACTTATATTACTTGTGATTTGATTAACAATACTCATTTAACTTGTGACGTAGTTTGTTGTTGTGTATTGAAATGATGGCAAGGCCTGAATTCAACACATGAATACACACCAGTTAACAATAACAAACAATCTGATCGTCTCAAAACAATTATTTTGATATTTTGATCTTTATCTATCAAAGTGTTAAATCCCAAGGCATTATTACAGAAATCCAGTTTTTAAGTTTCTATTTGAAGTTAGGGAATTTCCTTGAAATTGTCAATGTAGATGACATGGAAAAAACAAAACAGAAATGTTGATTAGTCTCTTGCACTAATTACGTCTGCTTGATCGCAACAAATTAGATTCATTCGAAAGCCTCTTTTGCATGAATGATACATGTCTGTGGTAAGAACATTATGCAACTTCATGAATAAACATGGCTTTTGTTTTTTTTTTTTTTTACAAACATCTTTATCTATCATTCCCTACTCAGAGCAGAGACAGCCATTTTAAATGTAACACTTCAGGTGGATGACTGATTTTTTTAATCGGTAAGGGGTAAATTAAAATGGCTCTAAATAAATCATTGTTTGAAAATATCTGTTCTTCCACAAAAGGTATTTAATTATTTATTTTGTATTTTAGGTAAAGCTGTTCCCCTCAATCATTATAATGAAGGCAGAGGATGAAAATGGTGTTAAGAAGAAAACTACCATGACTACCAGCGTTTCGGAGAAGTGTGATGAAAATGAAGAAGAACAGGAACCAGTCCATACCATTATGGACAGTAAGGAGCAAGGACATTCTAAGGGACCCACTCCTGATGGCATGGGATCAAAGTCAAGGGATCAAGCTGTACACACTAAAGCTGACAGCACGGAGCAAGGACATTCTAAGGGATCGACTCCTGATGGGAAGGGATCGCAGTCAAGGGATCAAGCTGTACACACCAAAACTGACAGCTCGGGACAAGAACATTCTAAGGGATTCACTCCTGATAGCAAGGGATCACAGTCAAGGGATCAAGCTGTACACACCAAAACTGACAGCACGGAGCAAGGACATTCTAAGGAATCTACTCAAGATGATAAGGGATCACAGACAAGGGATCAAGCTAAGGAAGATACGAGTACACAGCAAGTCAAGGACACGATCAAAGAAAGAAGCCTTACAATGAACAATGTGAAATGCTTAGAGAAAGAAAGCAAATCTTCATTAAAATGTGATAAAAAAATCGAGTCTACCCAATCTGGGACGAAAGCTCCTATTACACAAGGAAACAGAAAGAAACTGATAAATGGAGGTTCTCACGTTACTGCAGAAAAAAATAGCAAATCAGAAAGTGGTCGTAATCATTCAAACTCGCAAAAGGAAAAGACCTGTGATCCAAATACTCAGAAAATGTGCAAACCTTGCTCAGATTCTGACATTGATTCAATCCAAAGTTTGAAAAGTAAAATCGACTCTGCAAAGGCAAGTGGAAAAAGTATTAATGCTCTGCTGTACGAGATAGACAAAGACAGTGAGCCCACAGACAACAAGGAGGAAAATAAAGTCTCCAGCATAGAATACACACAGGTTTCATTCAGTGTACAAGGTGATGAACTCAGCCTCAAGCTAGAAGAGCTGACAGTTTCTGATGGGAGGGTGAATAACAAACAGGTCAGTGAAAATGACCTTAAAACAGAGGTCATTTCTGACCCTGGTGAAGATACTAGCTATCTAGCTACTAAAGGACCAATGTCACACCCAAAACACACCCAAGTGTACGAGCCTTACCCTCGACCCAATCAGACCTATCAACAAATACCCCAACTAGTGCCTAATGAAGGGGACTTCTTTGAGGCCGAATTTCAAGTTGACAAATTTTATGATGAAGATGATTTGCTCAAGGCCCTCAATGAAATAGCTCCGGAGACAAATTTAAACACAAGTCCAGAACATTTTCCTGAACCTGTTGAGCTCCTTCCCTGTGAAGAAACCATGCCATTGCCAAATCCTTGCCCCATGGGAGTAAATAATCCACATTACTTGATTCCAGTCCAGGGTGTAACTTCACCTCAGAACTCAAGATCTACAATACAAACTTCCCACCAGTCTGTAGAATTTGGTTTCATGCCTTGTCCTGACCCTCAACAGAGGTCAACTAGTGCAGACACTATCAAACAGACACCATCCATGTCAGTTTCATATGAGCCCCGTCCAAACTCCTATCCCTCCATGCATATTAAGGAAAGCCTAGAAGACCTGTTCAACGATGCCAGTGACATCATTGTCAATGATCTACGCCAATCTAACCAGCAAAAATCTGCTCAGAAAACTAATGCAAACTATCCTGCACAATTATCAGGTGAGAACCCAATGCATCACGTAAAGTTAAATCAACCTGCACATCCATTTTCTAATCTACCAGTTTCAAGATCTCAACCATCACAAAACCAAGGAATGGTTCAACAAGATGCACTTAGAAATCAAAATCCCACTCGAGTAATAGCAGCTAAACCCCAAAACGTCCTCCAAAGTCCTGCAAAAGCATTTCAACCAAAAAGACAGAGTCCATCTCAAAGAGCCAGTAATGGTAATCTGCCACATATTCTGCAAGAAATTGCTGACAAGAAAATGCCAGTCTCAAAGACATCACCACCAGTACAAACCTCTGTGATGGGAAATAATTATTCTGGTGCACAAATTCAATTCCAACAATCCAGTCAAATGGAAACACAGTTTATCAGCCATCATTCACCAGGAGTTCATCCAACTCAACCACAAATTCATCCATCTCATCCACAAATTCATCCAGCTCAGCCACAACTTCATCCAGCTCAGCCACAAGCTCATCGTAATCGGCAGCAAGCTCATCCACAAATTCATCCAGCTCAACCACAAGTCTGTGATTATCAGAACCCTGTTCTTGTCCCAAGACAAACACTGAAAGCATCCCCTGGTGGAGAGTGCATGAATGGCATAAGGCCACGCACCACAAACTCAAATCACAGAGGAGCAAACCCACAACACATGATTGAGCTTACCAAATCTAACCCAAATCCACGTCCCCAAATGGTGAGACCAAACAATAACCAATCCTGTACAGTGGTTCAAGGAAAAGATTACTCTACTTCCCAAAACATGGGGAATTCCTCTCTTCCACATAGCTACAGTCCCTATCCTTCAGCTTTTCCAACCATGGCAAGTCAACAAATGGCACCCTGTGTCACATCCCAACCAATGAGTAATGGACAAGGAATGACACAGCAACCTGTATCATTGGGAACCAACCCTTTCATACAACATTTCCCCAATGGTCAAAACATGCAGAGCCATCCCTATCCTTTCCAAGATGGATTACATATGCCTATGTCTGAAAACTTAAACAATTCTGCTCAGTGTATTCAAGGTATGCCACCTCAAAATGGACAGTGTATGCAACAGCCTGTTCAAGTAATCATCTACCATTCTTCCCCAATTGACAATTCCAAGCCACGGTTCAGGAAAATCCTTCCTAAGCCTCCGGCCTCTGCTGAAAGTGGGAAATGATGGAATAATTGTTTCTGGGTTCAATATATAGAAATGGAACATTCCTGTAATTGGAACTTACTTGAATTGTTGTAAAATGTTTTTCAGTTGTCATGAATTTTTTTTCAAAATATGCCATGATTAGTTAACAAAGCAAAACCAAATATATGTAATCTTGTTACACTTGTAAATATGTAAATAAAAATGTATTTGATTGTCAATATTTTTTTTATTTTACTCATTTCCTTTCTCTGTTTATAAATGTCAGAAACTATCTAGCAAAGGTAGAAATTTTTCCCAAGTGAAAGTTACATGCGAAATATCACAGGTAGTTTAAATTTTTTGAAAGTTTGCCTTAATCTTAAAATGATGTAACCTTACCATTTTATTAACCAAATACTCAACACTTTGCAACAATTTTTCATTCAAAATGTAACACAGAGTAATTGTGTTCAAAGCTTTCAACACCTGCGAGATTGAACAAGTATATACTCAATAAAAGTTTGCAAGATTTCACTTTTTTTCCATTCAATAATATGAAGAGCAACCATGGAAACCTGATACAAAGTATTTCTTACAGTGCAACGACTTTATTTGAACAAAAGAAAGGCGTTAAAGTATGAAAGAAAGAGACACTAATTCTAACATTATTAAAAGAAAAGTAAATTTCTCCCACCACTTGTGATTTGTTAGAAAAATATTTTCTTCCAACTTGAAGCCCTGTAAGTGTGTAGCTTGTACATGTACTGCCAAATGGCAATTTAAGAAGCTAGTGCAAATATAGGCCTTGTCATCAATGTTTACTCCGACTTAATCTAAGTAATAAGAAAAGCCAATTTAACAATAAAGACTGCTGATCGCAATCAATCAATTTCAAGATCTCACAGGTCTGTTTTACTATAGGTATAACTAAATCCCCCTGTGTGCAGGACGTGGGGTAACTCAGTATAGACACTCTGTATTCACTAAGCTTCATCTGAGGACCACATGACATCTTCCACATAAAGGCTTATTTGTTTTCCATTCACCACTGGGCATCGTGACAACCCTATACCATCAACATCAAAGAGGATCAATTTTTTATCCTAATGCCCAATATGTCAATGACAACCCTACCAAAATCGATGGCTGTCTAATCCTGCCTCATGTCATCAATTGCAAGCAATCAATGACCTGGTGACCCCACTTCACCCCCCCCCTTCCCCCAAACCTACCCCCAGGCACTACCAAGACTGACCTGAAGCAACTTGCTGACCATAAGGCCAGTAAAAATTAATCTTTAGATTCTCATCCTAATTTGCAAAAAAATCGGGGCGGGTGGGCGGATTTTATTTTTTATAATTGTTAATTTATATATAGGCCTAAGTATCAACAAAACAATGGACGCCCCGTACACATTTTGTTTCATAACCTTAATGCAAATATGAATAGATTTAATTCTTTTCATATTCTTTTAAATATTTAAAGAAAATTTTTGCTTTAAATGTTAAATATTCATTGTTAATTACCAAATTATCAAGTACACATATACGGCACACCCTGAACAAAATGAGGTGGGGATACCAATAAATTGTGTATGCGTGACTTCTTATTTTGCAAAATCTATATAAATGTTCTAAAAATTATTCTACTGAAAAATCTAGGCCTTCTCTTAAGTCTGTCTACGATGTTGTAGATTTTTTTTTATTTCAAAGCAAAGTCATACAGCTGGAGATCGTTATTATAATATATAACTTGACCAGGTGTCATTTTCCTCGTCTACTTTTACTTAGTTACAATCTCTCTACTTGCTCCTGCCAGTGATGGTATCTATATGTGTTTATGCTATTTTTTCTTCTCTGCCTTTACTGACAAATTATCTTTTCTTTACACATTTAAACTGCTTATATTGCCGATTTTTCTCCATTCTTCACATGGCGTTTTTGCTATAAATAGTGACACGCGACTTTTAATACAGACGGGAGATAACTCTTAAACTTTTATCCAAATTCTTACTGAATAAAAATACATGAAAATACCCAAAAATCAAAATAAAAAACATCGGGGCGGGACATTTTGAGAGGGGCGGGCGGGGATGAGAATCTAAAGATTAATTTTATATGGCCTAAGCGCCAAGTTTTTATAAGTCTACATAAACCAATCAAGCCGTGTTTAGATATGATCATTCAGCAAACATAAACATGGTGTGAAGTACCATTGTGACCACTGAAGTTGTCAAATATTGAGTGCTTCTGTTAAAGTATACAAATATGGCCTGCATATTTCTACTACAAAGTGTATATACAAATAATATACTGTCCCTCTGAAAATTGCAATTTAAATGTCTAAAACCTAGAAGCACTGTCTTGCTAAGTCCTTTTCTATTGAAGTTTAATACCTTAGATTTTTATGTATTGAGGCCTAATGATCCTTTTGTAAGCAAAGATCACATGAGATTTTTAGCTTAATCCCTCCTGTCTCTAATATTGTCTGGCAATATACTTTCAAAATGGTTCCTAACATATTGTCAAGAGCACTCTTACCAATAACTATTTCCTCATATATCTGCATTAGATTCAGTTTTACAGTTCTCTTATTTCTCTGCTTTTACTCTCAGACACCAACTAAAAAATTATAGACAATTTTTAATGGTAAATTTCTACTAATAAAAATTAAGACTTGAATTTCTTACATCCCTCAAATACTACCAGATTCCTTAAATTCTGATGGCCAATTCTGAAATTTTGAAAACTACAGGTACTATTTTTGTAATGTCTGAGGTTGACAATTCAAAATGATTACTCAGTCTTTCATCGAAATGCTGACTACCACGATAAAATTTTACATGCATTATACATTTTCATTCTGAGTTTGATTTTCCCCTTCTTTAAGGTCAAGATCTAGTAAATGTCCTTAGACTAACTTTTTGGTGCTAGATCCATTATGACGTCATAATCACTTTCAACTTTTTTTTTCCCGTACTTTACGGCTCTAATAGAATTATGTAGAAAATAAAGTATTTTCATGGAATTCAATTTGAAATCACCTGAAAAGTAGTCCGGATACCTATATTAAATTTAACATTATTTAAAAGAAGAGACCAAGAACATACAAATTACCGTTTTCCGAAAGACTGTAGGCAATCTGGATACATTTTGTTTGTGTGATTTGGAAAAAACTCCCATATTCATGACTAATTTTCTTAATTTTTCATTGAAAATGACAGTTCAAAATATGGTTTTTCATCTTATTTTCCTACAAATTATGCCCCGAAACACCTTTTTTGACCAAGCTAAAGTTATAAAGCATCATTAAAGGAATTCATTTCTTGAATTTGATAAATCTGTAGGCACCCTTCATTTACTAGATCTTGACCTTAACAAGTTTTATCATTGTATTACAAGAATAATTAAAGGATTTGACTAAAAGGTAATTTAAAGCAAATGCTCCATAATGTATACACGCAGAGATAATTTTGCCCTTTCACACTTCTAAACAATTTTGTCCAAAACAAATTTTGCCTTGACATGTCTGATGGTTAAATTTAAGAGAAAATGCTCTCTGTTTCCCACTTTAAATGTGCCCACTTGTGATGTGGGCATTATATGCAACAACAAAATGATTTGAAAATTTCCTTTCTTTTTCAGCAAAGTACATAAAAGACTGAAAGTGAAAGTTGTAAAAAGTCACCAAATTGTGATTTTTCAAAAAAAGTTGACCATCTAGGTTAGTGTAGAAATTATTAAAGAGTTTATTTTTTCAATGCCTAAGACCTCTAAAATTGCCACATTGCGCCCAATGCAGTATATATAACTATATATAGGTGAAAATGAATCGGTACAGATGAATTATTTTTGGTAAAAAATTACAATGTTTAGATTGGTAGTATGTTTCTTTTGATGTTCTATAAACAGTTTTAGTCAAATATCCATGCACATCTTGTATGTACAAGCGAGCCATGTGTCATTCTTCAGCATCATACATTGCTTTAATACAAAATCAGAAAACTGTGAGATCATTGGAGCTTTTTTCTCTCTAATTATTGTCATAAAAGCACACTTTCAGACCCATAGGGATTAGAGATAACATTAATTTTGTATTAAAATCACAATATTTCGGAAAAGTGTTGTAGCAAATTTGACCTAATGCAATTAGAAAGTTGTGCAAAGTCATGCACACTCGAATTTGACTCGAGCTCATTGAAAATTATCAAATTCTGTATGATTATGAATTTTTGATGTTTTACCATGCATAGATTATGTGAATTATTACACCCATGAAGGGAAAGAACATGATCATAGAAACCACTGTGATTCTTTATACCTCAAATTAGTTTATGAATTTCATTTATTTACCGCCGGTAATGTAAAAAAAATTAAATCCCTCAAATATGTCTGCAGTTACACCCCACCCACCCCCCTCCCCAATAAAGAGTAAACTGAAGTTATTTTTTCTGCAAATTGACTGGAGAATAACGATGATTTGCAATGATTAATAAAATCCTTAGTAATGTTTGATTTCATAAAATATACTTCGATATATATGTTTTTCAAAATTGATTTTCTGAGCCTAATATTAATAACAGTGCAGAGACATTATGACATTTATCTTATATTTTCTAAATTTCCAAAATCTACTACTTTACAGGAAATTTGGTTTCAAATCCTTGTCATATTTGATGATATTTTCATTATTATTAAAGTGATCAATAATAATTTGATGCAGCAGGTTAGAACAATCAGAAAATCGGAGATTTAAATCTACAGGACATGTCTGTTCACGACTCCTCGGTTCCTTACCCAGATTCACTAAGTTAGATGTCCTAAGCTTCTGCCCCTCCACCTCTAGCTGTCGTATCTGGTCCAACAGTTCAGAAGCAGACGACTTCTTCATCACTGCTGTCTTCACTGACCGCAGGGGACTAGCGTGTCCAACCGTCAACCCTGTTACAGGTGTTCCAATGAAAGACGCACCACCACTTGCCATTCTTTTCACATTTTTCTATAAATATACAATTTCTGTCGTTATTCAGTAGCGATAATTGAGGAACCGAACCAGTTGCATATTTTCTCTCCATTTGATACCAACCTAGCCTGTTATTTATGGAAACGGTTAGTGTTGACACTTTCTTCGGTCACCACATTTTGTTTTGTTTTCATATACAGCGGGAAATCGGTACTGCGCATGCTCGGTTCAAGAATGACGAACGATAAATCATACCGTGAGAAACGAGAAAAAATGAGTTAGCTCCCATAGACCTCTCGAAAATATTGAAACATTACATGTGCGTGTCCATGGTGTCAGATGCGGCTGTTAACGATCTCAACATTATTTTTTTTTAAATTATGTATCGTTATATACATTTTCATAGATACCCCAAAATAACCATAATGAAATTCAGCTACTAATCATGCTAATGAATTTATAACCTTTTAAGAAAGGCCTAAACATGCTAAATGAATTAAAGCTATTTTTAGGGGGTTAAATTTTTTTGCTAATTTATGCATTCAACTAATTTTTTAAAGTTTCCAATATTCCATTTGGAAATCCTAGATCAGCACCTCTGATTACCCATACCATTGAAATCAACGTGTCATTCTGACAAGAGGATGCTTACTCCTCCTATAGGCATTTGATCCAAACTCCAGTATATTCAAGATTAAATTGTACGTACTTAAAATCTCATCTAAAGCTTGACAGTATATTCAAAATAAAGGGTTGTGTTTTTCTTTTAATTTGGAAATTGAAATTGTTTTAAGAGTTTCAGTAGTTAAACGAATGCGTTAACTACATCTCTTCAAACTGGTTGAGGGTCGGAGTACCCCCCCCCCCCCCGTGTTGACCCCGGACCACTGACTTTGCGAGGATATCAAGAACGTTCTGTCTGTCAGTGTACATGTAGCCCAGAATCTCTCTCTCTCTCTCTCCCCCCCCCCTCTCTCTGTCTGACATGAAGTCATGACCCTCTTCTTTTTGCGCGCTTCACGACTCACGACAACAATGTTATCAAAATTCATTGAAATCCCTTTTAAATATCCAGAGAAATCACGTAAACTATAGGAAGCAGAAAACACGGATAGTAGCAATTATTAAGTGGCACTCGAAGAGACAGATGCATACATTGTACTGATTTGCACTCAATATCTGTTAACCGTATTTTCCTGTGAGTTCAACCCATATTTTTTGACAAAAACAATCAGAAAATAAAGGCAACTGTTGTGCAGGAAAATAAAAAAAAGATTCGTAAGTTTCCTGTTTGTTATGATGCTCGATCATGCATGACCTTTATATTCTTTCTTTTTTTCAGAGAGAGAGAGAGAGGGAGAGAGAGAGAGAGTTTATAGTGCTAGATGACAACAGAATCTTAGATATATTATATCACATTCAGTGGTAATATTTAATACACTCAAGTTTTTTAAAAAGGTATTTTTCTTCTCAAAGGGCTTAAGTCCTATTTATCAAGTAAAAAAAAAATATTGAGAGAGGACGGTCTATACTGATTGGAAAACATTCACAAAAGTACCACGTAAATTCTTCTATTTCAGTGGCGGATCCAGAGGGGGGATGTTATAGGAGTTGCATTCCCCCCTTGGATATGCTAAGAAGAGAAAGAAAGAAGTCAGTTCCAAATTTTTGTTGTGTTTTCACTATGGAAAATGTTCAGTGAAAGGCTAATGAGTTATACTGAAATAAGTTCGGTTGGGGAAATAAAATGGACCACCTCCACCACTTTACAAAATAAGATTTTCGCCTTTTTCGGGTTAGGATATTCATTTTCCTTTCTTTGTGAAAAACTTTCAGGTAATCTAATTATTTTTCCCAAACTGACCCCCCCCCCCCCGGCCTCCAGCTTAAAAACGATACTACATCCCTGTATCCATATTAAATTGTTAAATTTAACAACTTTTTCTTCACTCCTCCTTTAAAAAGAATTCTAGATCCACGCCTATATATAATACATAGAGCTCTCAAGTTGAATTTATTTTAACATAATTCCAAGAAAACTCTTTTCCCGTAGCAGTGGTCCCTTTTTTTGGTAGCTTTACATTAAAAATTCTCACGACTCCAATGTGTACTTTAGTTAGGACTTATTTAGAAAGTTCATGTGTCTGTTTCGAAGTCTTAATCAACTGAGATGAGCTTGCTTCTGCAAATACATACATGTATTTTAAGAAGTACATGTTTAAACGTAGAGCAGATTTTGGATCGGAAACCCTTGCCTAGCGAAGTTGAGGATATATCAGTTGAGACAACATTCGGCTAAAAGTTCATCTAGATATCTTTTCTGTCAGCGAGCCAAACCGCAGTATCTGTATATCATTTTATGATTAAACTGTAACAATATCCTATTTATTTTCGAGAAATATTGGCGAATATATTATATGCGGAGGTTAAAAGAAAAAAACAGGGGGGGGGGGGGGGGTGGCGAAGATATCCTTGCCTCTAAATTGATGATGGGAACAGTAGCCCCCTAGGAATTTGAACTCACCGCTGAAGTTTCTTCATTTTATAAATTGTTGATACAACAATATTTACATTTCCAATGTCTTTGTTCGAGATAAAATTACAAATAGTTATTAAATGTATTTTATTTCTCACGCAAATTATCAGGCAATCCAATCGATTGATCACATCATGAAATCGAAAAAATTGGACAGTTATTCCTCATAGGCGTCAGAACCGGGGGGGGGGGTATTTTTTTCCAAATATATATACTTAGCATAGGCATTGAACATTGTTTCGTAGGTTTAGCCCCGCCCCCCCCCCACTTTTCACAGACACGTCGCAGTATTGGTTAAAAATGGGGAAAGTTGTGGTGTTTGGAAAAAAATTTGGTACTGAAGTTCGAACCTACCCCCCCCCCCCCCAACGAAATAGGATTTTCGTGTTTGAGATTTCCCTTATTTCTTTTTTTTTTTTTTGCTTGTCAGGTTTTTTTGAGGGTATAATTTTTTTTTACACTTAGCCCCCTCCACCCCCCCCTCACTTCCAATTTGCTTCCGACGCCAATGTTCCTTAAATAAAATGTAAGACAATGCATATGGGTAATATACGAAAGCCCATTGAGCTCATATTGGTAGGTTAAAAAAAATTATTTTTTCGCGTTATAACGCCAAACTTTCGCGAATAAACGCGTAACTTTCGCGTTATAACACGAAACTTTCGCGAATAAACGCGTAACTTTCGCGATATAACGCGAAACTTTCGCGTTATTTCGCGAAATAATATGCATATATAATAATGTTACTCAGGAACCTTGATCTTGACTGACAGATAAGAACATGAAAACAGACGGGAACTCTCAGCAACTCTCAGTGGCCTAATGTCATTGAAAATGATGCAAATGATACATATCTAGAGTATAAAGAAATTGTAAACCTTTATGATGTTCAAAAGTCTACCTCTCTGAAACCATCCTTATCAATCTATACAAATATTTTTCACTCCAAGTCCTATTTTTGTAAAAAAAATTTACTAGAATTTTGATTCATTTTATGCATTAAAACATAACCCAAATAGTTATTTTCAAATTATTTGACAAAAGTTTGTTTGTATCATCTGTCCTTACGGTATATACGGCAGAGTTTGTACACTTTGAATTAATTGTCAATATTTTCCCGATATCGTATTTCTACAGTGAATCCAAAGGGGACAAATGAAAATCTACTTTCCAATTTTCACAATTCTGAGATCTTGTTCTTTATAAAATAAAATTATTTCAAATTCTCCAGAGAGTGCGTAAAAAAGACGCTGGAAAGGGGTGGTTTTCCCCGAAATTCATAATCTTATTTATAATAATAGGGATTGAAGTTTAACTTTTGGAAAACTCGCATAATCTTTGAATTGTTTGAACAGTGCTGAGAAAGACCATCTATGACGGTAAAGATGGATTCAATAGGAAGAAAACTTAAAATTGTAGCTGGTGATAGTCCAAGAATAAAACAGCCTTTTGCTTATCATTAATACATAAACTTGATAACAAAATCAAAAGAAAGTTAAGACTTAAGCAAAATGTCTTGGTTAAACAGCAAAAGTTTCGCGTTATAACGCAAAAGTTACGCGTTTAATCGCAAAAGTTTCGCGTTCTATCGCTAAAGTTTCCCGTTATAACGCGAAAGTTTCCCGTTATAACGCGAAAGTTACGCGTTTATTCGCGAAAGTTTCGCGTTATAACGCGAAAAATTTATTTTTTTCAACCTACCAAAATGAGCTCAATGGGCTTTCGTAGTAATAACAAAGAATTGTAAAAGAATTTTTTAACTGCAAAATCATATTTTAAAATTCTAAACATGTGCAGTGTTTATATAATATTATTGTTATCACAGGTATTCAAAGAGATAAGCGAATGAACAAAAGAAAGGGGTATACAATTTAAATCTGATACAAAACTACGTCATTTCATACAAAAGGGTTCCTCTTTTTCTACAGATATCTTGTTTTAAACTCATCTGCTTTTATGCAGTTTGAGTTCCTGAATGCTTAAAGAAATCCCCCAGTCCCCCTTTTGTTGCCATCTTGCCTCCAGCAAACAAGTTTTGCCGACTTCAATTCCACGAAACACCGGCGGACGGGTATAGAAATGAATTGACCTTATCTAAACATGTGATCTTATTTTTTAAAATTGAGGAAATTGTAAGCTTTATAGCTTTAAAACACTACACAGAAGTTTTGGCCTTCTACTTTGAGTATTTAAACGGGTATTTCCCCCCGGAGAAGGAAATTCAAGATTAAGGTCACCATATTGAAATGAATGCAAGGTAAATGTGATTCGAGTCCTCGTAATCTGTTTACACTGCCATATAAAAAAAAATTTGAGGAATCTTCATGCAAATTTTAAAGAGACAATTAGAATAAAAATCAAAATTTAACATTAAAAAAAGAGAGGCAAAATTGCTCTCTTCCTTGATGATTTGAAAATTATACAATCAAATGTAAATTTAATATTTTAGGATCGCTAGGATCTAGTACATCGTTCTTTTAAAGACCAGGTGTTTCAAGTTCTCACAAAATATAATTAAACCAAATGGTCTTCTTCGAAAGAATGATAGAAAATATTGATATCAATAATTATGCATTGATGTTGCAAAAATTGTTAACGTGAAGCGAAAGTTACTTTGATGTCAAAACGTTGAATACGGTATGCTATGGATTCCGGTGTTAGAAATACATGTAGACATCTTGATAGAAACTTTTGATGACTTTGCATTTTTCATCTTCTTAAACATCTATGGAAAATTAAAAATGTAACATTCAAATATTTATTTCAATTCATAAATAAACAACATTTTATATAAAATATATACAAATGATATGCATCAATACAATCTCGAGCATCGTTTAACATGCATAAATATATAATAGTGATATGAAATTGTATTATGGATATGTATTCAAATGAAGTAAATCGCAACATAAAAATAAAACAAGTATTTAAATTTTACATTACATAAAAATCTTCCTTAAAAAAAAAACAGAACTGTTGTAACAATATTCTTGCTTATTCGAACTTAGTAATTTTTCTTGTTCAGTTACTAAATACTGCAATGTAAAATATCTTAATCAAAAAATTAATTATAAATAAATTGGCTAGAAAAAATTAATAAGACATTTTCTTGTGTTAAAGGGCAGTGATAATTTCCTAAATAATGTTTAAATAAGGAGTCTACATTTCTTTCCGATTTGATTTTCCTTCCAAGTAATGCTGGAATGCAAAAAGAATAAACATTGCACAAACTAAAAATATACAAGCGTTTTAGTTTTAAAAAAGTTTTTTGCTTCCTGGTGCATTTATCTCTACTGAAAAGTCAGAATATGTTACAGGGAAAAAATACACTTCCTTCCTTCCCACCTAATTAATTAAAATGAGAAAATAATAGATATTCGTTTAAAAAAAAAAAAACTAAAAATGTAATAATTAGTGCACTTAAGCATTTAGTTATCATTATCCTTGAATCAGCTTGTTCCTGCTGCCAACCATTTTAATTTTTTTAATTAAAAAAAAACTCTCCTTGTAAGTTTTTGAGATCAAATTGATTTACCGGGGGGTACATGTCCGCTGGCCCTCCAAAGAAGTTTGGCATCTTCATGGTAGATGCTAAGGACCAACATTTCACCTTTGGAATGTCCTAAAATCTCGATCCATCTTCCTTTTCACACAGGATACTAGTTTCAAGAAAGTATACATTTCAAAATTTCTTTGGGTCACTTTTTTCTGCTTGTCTAATTTCATTTTGGTACAGCGCCCCTCCCCCATCTCAGCACTGTCCCATGTATAAAGAAGCTTATTACAGGCCAGCAATCGTAAGAGATCCTGCCATGTTTAGATATCTTGAACAGCCCAACACGTTTCACTTTTTAAAATGTCTTTAAAAAGTGTTTGAATCCACCGTGCACGCCTATTGGATCCATCTGTGATTTCAATCTCACGCATTGCAAAATACTTTTGGTTCTGTTTGTTGAGTTGCATGAAAAAGACGATTGCAAAAATAACAATCATTATGAAACCTTAAAATGGTGTTCAGTAAGTCTAAATTTGGAGGTAAATTTGCTACAAGTTGGCCGATAGTAAGATTCGGGTTGGCCCTGCGTAAGTCATTTAAAATTAAATTTGATGGACCGTTGTCAGGGTCCCCTTTTCTGTGCCACCTGCAAGGGAGAAAATTAAACTGAATTGTTTATATCGAAAATATGTTTACTACAATAAAGCGTTGCGTATGATGCTGTTAAAAACGGTTTCTAACAATATTTTAAACACAGGAATTTTTTTACACAACAAAAATGGATTTCAAGTTTTCCGCGCTGCCAGGTACGTTCTTGTGTACAATTTAGATATGAAACTTTTCTTTAAAAAAAATCTGCAATAATTATTGTATAAAAACTATATGTAAACATTACTGTTTATTCCATTTCCTTGAAAAACACACTTAAATTTCTTTGTTATAAATTTTTCTTAAAATTTCCGAATCGTAAGTATACATGTATATAATATATTGATGTAATATTGAAAAAAATCTTGCAACAATATTTACAATATTATTGTAAAATTAGATAGAAAAAACAAAGCCTAATTTATCTGATTAACAGGTTAACAGTATACTTACTCCACACTTGAAATATAAGCATCAGTTCGGTTTAGAAAAGTTTTGGCAATTACACGCCAGCAACCTCGCAACTGATAGGAAGTCGAATTATCGAGACAATAACAGAGCTGTTTTAGGAAATCCTCCATATTCCGGAATATTGTGTCTATCTTCAGTGTACATACCGACACATCTGTAAAATAAGTAAACGTGTGCCCTTATTTTGGGATTTTATATCGAAAGTACTGAAAAATTGGTATAAGCTGAAATATACATATATGAAGGTACTTTATTTCATATTACCTGTAATCGTGGATATTGATGATGAAGGTGGGGTAGCCAAACATGACTTCAAAATGGAAGAACAATCTAAAGAAAAACACATTATGAAACATCTCATAATGTTAGAATGAGACCAAACAAATGGATTATATAATATTATCAAAAGCTACTGTTACTCACAGTCAAGGACTTCCTGTTGAACCTCGCAACTCACTTGTGACCTCAACCGGCATCTGGAACTAATAGATTCAAGACCATCTGGTTGACCCCTATCTTGAAATATAACCGTCTTTGTTTCAATAGGATACCCATAAAAATACTTAGCAAAATAAGTATTTTGTGTAAATTTAGTTGTAAAGAAAAGATGTCATTGAATTTGCACTGATTACTTTTTATTTGAAAATAATACAATTAGAGGAAAGGGTAGTCTTAACACGAGTTTAAAAAGACCACATCGTAAGCATGTTTTTATTTTTTAAAATCTTCATCAGACCAGGGCTGATAAGTGGGTATAACGTTCCTAGTTCTTTTCATTGCTTACCTTTTACACTCAACAAAAATACATTTCTTTTTGGCCAGCTTTCGGTGGTGGTCCAGTAATATATCCCGTCGTCCACGGATTCTATTTCCTTTATACAGTGCAGGAATGGATATACAACTACTCCACGATAGTCGGCTTGGTCTTTCCGCTTTATTTGAAGACTGTTAACGTCTGTCATGGTCTCTTTCGTTGCAATATAAACAAGTTCACCTAGATGTTAGAATGAATTAACGAAGACTTACAAACTGAATAATTTTTTTTTTTGAAGTTTAGATCAAAAAATTTAATAGACTAAACACATATGACGTCAAATCCATGTATATTTCAGTATATCTAATGAAAGAAAATGTATTTTACCCATCTGAACAGTAAATTCTAATATTCCGTCTTGGTTCACTCCAGTCTGTAATGTCTGAAATACTTTAATATTCTCATCTAGAAAAAAAACACATCATTTGTAAACGGAAATTCCACAAGCCATACATTGAAATTCATTGTCGAGGTTTATTTTTATTCTAGTTCACCTAGATGTTAAAAGAAATTAACCATGAGTTACAAACCAGATAATTTTTTTTTTCAAATTTAGTTCATAGAATTTAAGAATAGACTAAACACATCATGACATGTAAGATTCTTGTACATTTCAGTCTATCTTGAAAGGAAAATGCATTTTACCCCTTTGAACAGTAAATTCTAATATTTCCTCTTGGTCCACCCCAGTCTGTAATGTCTGATCTACTTTAATATTTTCATCTGAAAAAAAACCATCATTTGTACATTGGAATTTGTACAAGCCATATATTGAAATTCATTGTCGAGGTTTATTTTTATACTAAAAAATTTCCTTCAATTCGAAATTGACGATCTATAATGATTGAAACATTTTCGAATGGGAGTAAAACAACATACAATTAACCAATCATCAATTCGGAACTAAAGCGACCGAGTGCATCCTCCGCGTCAGTACATGTTCGTCGGGATTATTTCGTACCTTGCTTAAAGAAAGGATTCTCCGAGTGTTCCACGGGAGTTCTGTTCCCCTCACTGCTAGACAAATCTTGATTTGTATATGTAGAGTCTGCATTGCAAGTTCCCTCACTGCCAGGCAGATCTGGGTTTGTGGATGTAGTTTCTGCACTCTCATCTCCACTTTTGTTATCGGAATCGTCGGATGCGAGTTTGGGGTGTCCATCACGTTCAAGTTTATCTGCATAAATAATGTATTAAAACACGTTTATAGCTGTAGAGGTAATTTACTCTTAAACTTTTTTTCTTTCCTATGTGCCATACAATTAAACTGTAAGAGGTAACAAATAGATCAAAACAAAAGTGAAACACTATGCGCCCGGCGGCAACATAAATTAAAAAATAACAACATATTTTTAGCATTTAAGTCACAGTCAAGGTCACAAGGTAATTGATCTTGGTGTCATTTGAATGAACTTGATTAGTGAAGTAAGCATACCAAATATGAAGTCTCTATCTCTCATGGTTCAAAAGTTATGGTGAAGGTTCAAACAAGCTATCTTTAGCATATAGAACACAGTCAAGGTCACAAGGTCATTGACCTTGGTGTTATGTGAAAGGCCTTTATTAGTGGAGTATGCATGCCAAATATTAAGTCTCTATCTTTCTTCGTTCAAAAGTTATGGTGATGGTTAAAGTTTTCCGACAAAAAAAGCTATATTTAGCGCACAGGTCACAGTCAAGGTCACAAGGTCATTGACCATGGTGTCATTTAAAAGAGCTTAATCAGTGGTGTATGCATACCAAATATGAAGTCTCTGTCTTTTTTGGTTCAAAAGTTACGGCGAAGGGTAAAGTTTGCAGAAAAAACTATTTTTAGTATATAGGTCACAGTCAAGGTCACAAGGTCATTGACCATGGTGTCATTTGAAAGAGCTTTATTAGTGGAGTATGCATACCAAATATGAAGTCTCTTTCATTCGTGTTTCAAAAGTTATGGCGAAGGTTAAAGTTTGCAGACAAACAGACAAACAGATAGACAGACAAGACAAAAACAATATACGCCTCGGATCTTTCAATTCGGGCGCAAAATAAAAAGAATATACAAAACATACCAGATATGCCAATCATTGGTCTTTCCATTTCGAGCTCTGAATCCAAACGGCTTTCAATCTGTAGTGAACGTTTTGCGTGTTTCTTTCTGACCCGTGCACAATACAAGGAAACAATAATAAGGGGTATCAGCAGCATTACCAGAGCGAGAACTACAAGAATGGTAAAGAAAAACTAATCTTCAGAATATAGTGTTTCATTGCAAGATTGTTTCTTTACTCTTGTTTTAAATATACTGCATTAAGGTTTCTAGGCAGTACTTACTAATTTGAATTTCCACAATGCAATACCACTCATCTGCAATGAAATTCACATATTTATTAATATAGAAAATATTTCTTTCTGCCAGTCCTTAATTTCAAAATATTTTTTTTTCAATGATGACTTAATGTTCGTGATATTTGTCATGCGGCATAAATTTCTGTCATTTAAAAATGTTTTTTTTTTGCCCTATCATATCCAACTCACTAAAAATCGAATCCACATTTTTTTTAATTGCAAGAAAATATCATCAACAAGTTTGTTGAAATTTAATGGACAAAAAATATTCTTTAGATCCTGGCACCGACTCATTTTGTTAATCCTGCATCGGAAGAGGACAAGGAATCAAATATTCTTTTAAAGATGGTCTAAATCTTTTATCGATTGCATATTTGATTGCAGTCTTCAAAATTCTTTACCACAATCCTCTGATGGACAAACAGCCTGGGATGGATCATCGTACCAAATGGAGTTCCTTCCACAATGTACCGTTATTGATGTTTTGAATTCCGGACGACAGAAGCCGATGTAGGTATATCCCGCCAAACTTTCATTTCCAGTACGACCTCCATTCTCCAATTTCCACTCAAACTGATTTGGAAGTGGTCCACAACCTGATTAATTCGATTTACCAGTTTTAAAAATTGAAGAAAAAAAACATGTTCCGGGTATACCACATATATGTATATTTAGAGAGAAAAAAAAACGCGATTCATTCTTTTTCATATCACTTGTATGAAAATACAAGTATTAGTTACATTTCATAGAATAGCAGTTTTACCTTTTAAACATCGGAAATTTGTCGGATTTACATTCCACTTCAGATTTTCCCCACATCTGATACTGCTGAAATTACTTTCCAACATCCTTGTCCGAAGACATTGCGGGAAATACTCTTCGTACACCGTACTCCTGTTTTGGATAGGTCTGCCGGATTTTGTTTTCCAAAACAAACCCTCTAAGACCGGTAAAGGACCACATCCTGAAACCGGTAAAAATATCCATTATTGCACACAAGGTTTAGCTGACGAATTTCGTAATTATCTTTTTTATGAAAATTTTTGTAAACAACAGCATATTTCCATTTGTTATTAAATGACAATTGTTCTTGAAAAAAATTCGCCGCAAAAGAAACTGGTACATTCTGTTGGACACTGAATGATCGACATAAAAAAAGAAAAATACAAATCACCTGGAATGATCCCATCAGGAACACTTTCCTTACAGATAGGCTTAGGCTCAGGAATTTCTGGTTTAAAGTTCTTCACAATACATTCTCCTTGTTGCGTCTCTCGATTCTGTTCATCATTCTTCCCTGTTGTACAAACCGTGCAATAATGATGATGTCCGCTCGCTCCTTTGTAGATACTTAAAACAAAATAAATCATCAAAATGAATCAAATGTTCATAAAAAATTAAATGAAGGAAAAAATAAGATGACTAACAGAATTATATCATCAAATTCAAAGAAATCTACATGAATAAAATTTTTACTTAATTTTTTCAAAGTATGACAATCAATGAATCCATGTAAAAAGTTTGTAATTGAATGCATCAATTTGATACATACACTTGTTTGTAGGCACCCCTATACGTACATATGTGCCATCAAAACAAGGGATAAAATGATTAAATGTACATTTGGATGTATTTTTTTGTCCCCCGCTTTCGCGAAAGCGAGGGGACATTAAATCTCATTCGTCTGTCTGTCTGTCCATCTGTCCGTCAGTCTGTCCGTCACGAAAACTTTGCCCATAACTTTTGATTTAGTGGAGCTATGACTTTCATATTTCACATGTGTATTCTTTGTGACAAGACCTTTCTTTGGGTACCACCAAATTTGACCTTTTGACCTTGACCTTGGAGTTTGACCCACTTTTACACAAAAATTCCAAACTTTTACTTTGGCCATAACTTTTTAATATAGGTACTAGGACTTTCATATTTCACATATGTATTGTTTGTGGCAAAACCTTTTATTGGATAACAACAACCTTGACCTTTTGACCTTGATTTTGGAGATATAGCACCGTTTTGAATAGAGGAAAAAACTTTAACCTTGACCATAACTTTTGTATGGTAAGGGCTAGGGATTTCATACTTCACATATGTAATCCTTGTGAGAAGACATTTCATTGGATACCAATAACTTTTGCCCTTTGACCTTGACCTTGGAGTTTTAATTGAACATTTTAAAAACTTTAACCTTGGTTACAACTTTTAAACAGTAGATACTAGGACTTTTATATTTCACATATGTATTCCTTGTGGCAAGACATTTCATTGGATACCAACAACCTTGACCTTTTGACCTTGACCTTGGAGATTTATTTACTTATGAAAAAACTTTAACCTTGACCATAACTTTTGAACGGTGAGGACTAGGGCTTTTGTACTTCACATATGTGATCCTTTTGAGAAGACCGTTCATTGGATACCAATCACTTTTACCCTTTGACCTTGACATTGGAGTTTTAACTACTTTTTCGAAATAATTTAACTTTGGTCACAACTTTTGAACGGTAGATACTAGGACTTTTATATTTTACATATGTATTCTTTGTGGCAAGTCCTTTCATTGGATAGCAACAACTTTGACCTTTTGACCTTGACCTTAAAGATTTATGTACTTATGAAAAAACTTTAACCTTGACCATAAATTTTGAATAGTAAGGGCTAGGGTTTCATACTTCACATATGTAATCCTTGTGAGAAAACCTTTCATTGGATATCAACAATTTTGACTCTTTTTTTTGACCTACTTTTAAAAAACTTTTTACTTTGGCCATAACTTTTTAACGGTCAGGATATAGGGTTTTCATAACCTTCAAAAAAATCAACTTCAGTGTTACTTTCTAAATAAATGACATATGATAGGATGTTCGTATTACACACAATATGTCATAAAAATAACATCTCACCCACAAAGACACCGAAAGCGGGGGACCACAATTCTTTGAATTTGCTTGTTATAGTTTAGATTGACTAAGTGTCTGTTAAATCATATGAAACTTTTCGACATTGTTGATTCTAAGTTTCTTTACACAATATTGAAACGCAATGAAGTTTTAAAAAATACAAAATCTGAAAAGGAAGGGAATGCAATGACTATATATGCAACCCATAGATTAAGGAAAAAGAATAAGATTACAAATATTGAGTAGGTAACCAACCTACCAATAAATAATTATTTGCATTAATAAAACAAAGATCTAAACAGATGAAGGTCACAGACAAACAGATAAGGAAATAAGATCTGAGGATCAATGCTTAATAGCACCTGGGACTAAAGTGTGTTCTTAATTATACAAAGATTTAGTTCCTTGTTACCGTTTATGATAGGTGATTTAGAAACGTGCATGTTATCTCATTAAGTGCATGATATACTATTTGTAGCCAAACGCAATCTTAGTGTATACATGTAATCGGCTATGCACATCTTTGTACATCTATATTCATTGCATTGTTCAAGTTTAAATAGCCAGTGACAAAGTCTACGGGTTTTTAATCTAATATTTTAAAACGTTTCTTTATATATATTTTGTCACAAGAACATTCTAAAAGACTTAATGTAAAAATTGTACCAATACACATTGTACCAATTAAATGCATATTATTTTCCATCATAAGTCTTTTTGTATATATGCATGGCATAGAATTTGTCCTAATTCTGCAACGAAAAAATTGATATGGGCTTTCAAGGGAAAATATCGTAGAAGTTAATCTGTTGCTACGCTGAAATGCGGATGTGTATGCAGATTTTGAAATTTTTCTCTTTTCATTTTCTTGGAACCTGTTTTTTTTTCTTTTTACAAATTCCTTGTATGTACATGTATGCTATCTTGAAGAGAGTCATGGGGACATTGAAGTGGCCAATTCCAATTAAAGTGTCAAAAGAATGGAATTATATTAGTTAGGTATTTCGAAGATTAAGTAAAAATATTTAGTGTTTACTCACAAGCGTCGAGTTTCACCCTCCTCGAATTGGAAGATGTATCCAGAACAACACACCAGCAAGGCGAAAATCAGGAGACACAGCATCGAGGACCTCCTACTAGTAAATGTCTTGGTCTTAAAGTGACAAGGAAGCAGGAAGTATTCTATAACTTGTTTTTGAAAATTATTTGACGTAAACATCTTCTTTGTTGTCAAAATTTTTTTTCATTTTAAAATTGTTTATTTCTTAGAAAATACCATATTTTTATTTATATACGTATACATGTAGGCTGTACATAAATAAGTAATGGAAAACACCGTGAAACTGTAAACGCTAAAAAATGAATAAATCTTTACGTAAATTATCAACTTTATCTTTTTCCTGCTATTTAATTAAAGAAGAATAACTCCTATAATATTTGCAAAATTGGCACGCAGTAGTGTACTGCTAATAGATGTTTAGACTGGCACAACTTAATAAAATTTGTGAATTTATAAATACAATTATTATACCTCTACTGATTGATTTTTCCTATGTAAAAATTAGATAGTAAAATGTGAACAAGCAAATTCAAAGATTTGTGGTCCCCCGCTATCGGTGTCTTGTTAGTGAGATGTTATTTTTTATGACATATTGTGTCTAATGTGAACACCCTGTCATATGTCATTTATTTAGAAATTATCATTGAAGTTGTCTTTTTTTTAAATAAGGTCATGCGTGAAGGTCAAGATCAAGGGGTAAGAAACCATAGCATGCTCGGAATTACTAGTATCTTGTCATAGGTAATGCACATGTCAAATATGAAAGCCCTATCTTTTCTCAAAATAAGGAACAAGATGTGTTTGTGAAACACTGATGAGTTGTTGGTTTCTTAAGAAAGGTCTTATCACAAGTAATACATATGTGAAGGATGAAAACCCTAACCCTAACTGTTCAAAAGTTATGGCCAAGGTTAAAGTTTTTAAAAGTAGGTCAACTTCAAAGTAAAGGTCAAAGGGTGTAAGTTCTTGGTATTCAATGAAAAGTCTTCTCACAAAGATTACATATGTGAAGTATGAAAGCCCTAGCCCTTACCATTCAAAGGTATGGTCAAAGTTAAAGTTGTTTCATAGGTACGTAAATCTCCAAGGTCAAGGTCAAAATTGTTGGTTTCTTAAGAAAGGTCTTGCCAAAAAGAATACATATATGAAATATGAAAGTCTATTATCTACCATTCAAAACTTGTGACCAAGGTTAAAGTTTTTAAAAAGTAGTTAAAACTCCAAGGTCAAAGGGTCAAAGTTCTTGGTATCCAATGAAAGGTCTTCTAACAGGGATTACATATGTGAAGTACAAAAACCCTAGCCCTAACCGTTCAAAAGTTATGGTCACGGTTAAAGTTTTTTCATAAGTGCGGAAATCTCCAAGGTCAAGGTCAAAGTTATTGGTATAAAAATAAAAGGTATTGTCACAAAAATACATATATGTGAAAAATTAAAGTCCTAGTACCTACCATTCAAAAGTTATGGCCAAAGTAAAAGTTTGGAATTTTTGTGTAAAAGTGGGTCAAACTCCAAGGTCAAATTTGGTGGTACCCAAAGAAAGGTCTTGTCACAAGGAAAACACATGTGAAATATGAAAGTTATACTCCACTAAATCAAAAGTTATGGGCAAGGTTAAAGCTTTTGTGACGGACAGACTGACAGACGAATGAGATTTAATGTCCCTTTGCTTTCGCGAAAGCGGGGGACAATACCTGGTAATTCCCTAGAAATCACTGTGAATGGACGTATCCCCGTGCGTTAGTCAAATAAGCTAATCACTGCTTCGGAAGCTAATTCCCGATTATCCACAATCCTCTAGATTTCAATTTTGTATCGGTATAATATATTATTGGACTAATCCTCGTTCGTCAGTCAAGTGAGCTAATCCCCGCTCTGAAAGCTAATTCCCCGTTATTCGTAGTCCTCTTTTTTTTTACTTTCGTATCGGTATAATAATCAGTTAAAAAGTATATCTTTGAGGGAGTTAGCAAGATTCCAGTTTCCCTGGACCAGGACTGCGCCTCCGCAGGTTAATTTTCATACAACATGTCTCAAGGACATGGTACATACCTCTAAAATTCAACAACCAAAATTGAACATAAAGAAGTTTGGTATCATAATTTATTTAGCTATGCACCAAATAAAATCAAATTTTTGTTAAAAATTTATGAGAATCAAAAATACATTTATTCATTTGCCAATAGAATATTTGAAATCTATCCATGCATGTCTTTCATAAAAATCTCAAAATGTCTTTTATTTTTAACAATTCTCAAAACCTAACCTGTTTATATGCCTTTTTAAAAAAAATATTTCAAGAATTATATTTAAGATTAACAAAAACACATACTTTATTATGGTTGACCAGAAAAAGTGAAAATACAATCCAGCATGTATACAATGCAAATGACATTTTGTGGCTTTCTATCTAAGGCACGGACATTTTACCTATTTTCATTTATCAGTTCGATCTAGGAGGATTTTACCCTTACTTTGGACTTTCAGTAGGCGTGACTTTCTCGGCGCTACGTAATAGCGAATACTAGTAGATTCTCATTGGTTACGACATTAACAAGAGGCCCACGGGCCTTATAGGTCACCTGGGTATCATGTAACAAGTTTCCAGCGATTGTATTTGGTTCGTGTTTTAATCAAAAGCCATGAAATTCACAAATTTTGAAGGAGGCACCATTGCTTATCAAAGGGCAGATTTCAAAGCATTAATTTATTTTTAGTCAAAGTACCCCCCTGGTACCCCTGACCCAGGGGCCCTGAAATTATCTATTTTGAAAGAGGCCCCTTTCTTCATTATAAGTTTTAGTTATGAACATGAGAATAAAAAAGTCCCGAAGGAGAAGGAAATAAAAAAAAAAATTGGATAAATCAATTATTAACATTTGTACATTCTTTTTTATGCTATTCTAATAGGGTCCTTACCACTGGACACATGATGCTTAGACTGTAAGCTATAACAGAGACCTAAACAGTGTCGCTGGCAATATGCAATAGCTACCACGGGCAGTTTAAAACCTTGGGGAGGAAAATAATTTACAGACAGATACTTTTGAAACGAATACATAATTATCTCACCAGCATGTCATTGTGCAACAAAGTCGTCAGCATTTTATTTGTCCTTTGAACGGGTGAAACGTTTTGAATGGCACTCGTATCGATGAATTTTACACTAAACCAAGCTATCTTCTCAGATCTAGCTTTATTTACCCGCCGTTTCATCTTAAAACCGGAAGTGCGAGTTCGTAAATTTGAAATCTCGATCCCGACTCAAATTTGACATCGGAAAGAAAAAAAATTGTTTTATTTTTTTCTGAAAATTCAAAACCTTGAATTGAGGGTTTGTAAAACTGAAAATAAAATGAATCCTAGCCTTAAATATGTAATTAGATCGTTAGTATATTAACCAGGAGCAAAGGATAAGATTTTCAAAGAATTCATGCATTTCACTATATAATCATTAGAGCCCCACCCTAAAACAAGAACCCCTGCCCCTGGGGCCATAAAATTCACAATTTTGGTAGAGGCACTCTTGCTCATCATAACTATGTACTTAGTTAGTTTATTTAATACCCAGGAGCAGAGAAGAAGATTATCAAAGAATTCATGTATTTTCACTACATAATCAATAGAGCCCCGCCCTAACACCAGAACCCCTGACCCTGGGGCCATAAAATTCACAATTTTGGTAGAGGCACTCTTGCTCATCATAACTATGTACTTAGTTGGTTTATTTAATACCCAGGAGCAGAGAAGATTTTCAAAGAAATAATGCATTTTCACTACCTACTTATTTAGCCCCGCCCTAGCACTAGAACCCCTGACCCTAGGGCCATGAATTTCACAATTTTGGTAGAGGACTCATTGCTGATTACAATCATGCAAACAGTTTGACTGCTTGATGTCCAGGAGTAAAGAAGAAGATTTTTAAAGATTGCATTAGTTTTACTGGTTTTGGCCCCACCCCTCAGGCCCCAGGGGGGCAGGGATCATGAAATTCACAATTTTTGTTCCCCTTTACCCATAGATGCTTTGTGCCAAATTTGGTAAAAATAGGTTCAGTGGTTGCAGAGAAGAAGCTGAAAATGTTCAAATGTTAACGCACGACGGACGACGCACGACGACGGACGAAAACGGATAACAATAGGTCACCTGAGTTTACTCAGGTGACCTAATAACATCAGAACTTAAAATTGTTGTTGATAAAGATGAGACGACTTATGCCCCACCTCTGAGCCGTGAGAGAACTTTTAATTGGCTATTTACTACACCAGTTGACATTCGGCCGCATTTCTATCATATGTATATTTCAACAGTGAAGGGAAGCTGTGTAAATTTCAGAAGCTAATTAGGTAACGTCGAGAATGCCACGCCTTACTGAAAGTCCAAACTCAGCGTGTAATGGTAATATAATCACAGATTCGTGTGTGTGGAAACAAAAAATATTACTGTTTTAGCGAGTTCTAAGCCGCTGATTAACAGAAAAAATTGAGCCTTTTGATATTGCTACAGAACAGTTTTTCTCATGAAGCTGTTTCCGTGGCTACACGTGGCATTGGTGAAAAGTCTCTTCCAGAATTAGGGCGATCAGCCGGAGACGAGTAAACATTCATTTCTAGTGAAGCAGAAGGATCGGGTAGCTTCTTCCGTCTTGTACAATAAAATCTAACTCCAACAGCTAAGCCCAAAAGCACTAAAACGAATAGTCCTGAGCAAATACCTGGAATAAATCATTCAAGAAATGAAAGTTTATTTATAAAATAAGATTTAAACAAGCTAATTCAGAGAATTTGTGTCCCCTGCTTAGGGAAAAAGTAAACCATGCGCAGTTCGGGGGAAGGGGGGGGGTCGGATCCCCTTGACTGAATTAGTAGAATTATTAAATTTATACATGTATACTGAAGCAAATAAAATATGCCAATATGGATATAAAGATTTGATTGCTTATTCTTTATTATGTGTATAGAAGATTCTTATCACACTGTAATGATGATTTTATGAGTTTGTACAAGCCAGACCTCATAAATGTTTCATTTCACATGCTTAATACTATCACTTAGTAAAAAAAAAAAGTATTTCGAAAAAAAAAAAGGATCGTCAGGGATGCGAACCCGGGACCTCTCAAACATGAAGCGAGAGACAAACCACTAGACCACGGAACGTCTGTTACTTAGCGAGAATAATATGCAAATATGAAGTCACATAGATGTAAATATTCATGTTCGATATTGTCAAAATTTTACACAATGCATGGTGTCTAATAAACCTTTATTAATCAGTTCTAATACACTGTATACGAAGAGCTAATCGAAAACCTACTTGATTTGGATCACTTGCTATATTGCTTTGGGTACTCTGATGCATTATGGGTAAAAAAGAAAATTCTGCAGGCAAAATAAGGGTAAAAGTAACTTTAAGAAATTAGAAAACTTATTAAATCTTTGAATCAATGTAAATTTATTTGAGAACATTTTTAAGTTGCAACATGTAAGAAATTCGATACATTCTTATTTACTAAGTTAAAATGGGATTTTCGCTCATTTTGAATTATTTCAATTGTTCTCAATTTTTTCAAACTAAATTCTATTGTAAAAGTTATTGTATCTAAGTTTTCGCCTCAATTCACCCACGAAACATCATCTGATTTCTATAAATTACGCTTTTTAGAGAAATTGAGCTATTCTTGTTTTGAGTGAATGCTATACTATGTTTGCAACATATTTTTGCGATGGCTATACTTTTTTCTGATCCTTTTTGGGATTTGCATGAAATTAAGATTTATTGTTTTTTGAAAAAATTATCGCGATTAAAACAGTTTTGAAAAAAAATTGGCATTTATTATCAAAAGAGAAACATGTATCAGTCGAAAGAAATTAAACAGAAATGAATAAATATAGAATTTGATGAAATGTGCTATCATTGCTGGTGTTTGTGCGATACTTGATTTGCGTTTTGTCGCGATTGATACAGAAATGCTGTGTTTGATTTGAGTAGAATACTTCTTGAAGAATGAAGGCGTATATAGGGGGAGCATAATTCAAAGTCACTGTCTCAAGTTTATGTCATTAATAAATAACTAATTGATAAATACACGTAATATATTTTCACTTATGTGTTAAAGGTAGGTAAAACGAAAAGAGGGCTTCACAAACTATTCGAAATTTTTCCAAAGCTCATGATAGGCGTAAGACTGAATGCGTTAACCACGACATGTTACAGTGTCTTCTTGATGTTTGTGTGTCAGTTTGCTTTAAAGAAACGAATTTGTTGAGACAAATAAGGTTTTTCAACTCATAAGGTCTCTGGATAAAAGAATTTAGTTACGGAAGTAAATTGATTTTCAGGGATATATTCTATGATTTCTATGAAAAAAGATCCATGCATTTCTTTGAGAAATGTGGTAACCGTTAGTTTTCTTTTTATAACATTATTATTTTAATATTCCATGTAATCTCTTCTTAACGCTCATTTGGCTGAATTGAAATTAGTAAATGAACGAAGCGGCATTAAGATTTGAAGTTGAATGCGTTTTAATCATTATTTACAAATCAAAACTTTAAATGCATATATATACCACTAAATATTTACGAAACCATGTGTATATGTAAAGTCTAAGAGTTGAAATCGATCTTTCAAATTGTTTAAAATTTTACAATAGTACATGTAAATTGGTGAGCGACATGAAAATTCTTAATTTGGTATGTTTTTGTTGATGAATGACTGTCATAAGTTGATAGGAAAAATTAGAATATATATGGAAGAATGTAGCTTGTCCACCAATTAAACCGACCCCATCCCCAACCATAAAGTAGGCTTTTTGTGTTGGGATCTTTTAGTGTTATGGACAACAATGTAACCCCCTCCCGTTTCCCGAAGAAATTTATGCTTGAGCAATCCTTTATTCCGGAATGAAAAAAATGGAACTAAACATATAAATTAACGGAATAAAATCGTCATTACAATTGTTTCCATTAGAAATTAAAAAAAAGATACTTTCACAAAAGGTTCAAAATGTTATTAAGTAGGGGTATATTTTTTTTATTAAAAGTAAAATAAGTAACGTCAGGTGCCTGTGTGTTTGTACTCTCCTTCGTACCTAAGTAACTTTCCAAGAGGCCACACTACTTTTTCTTTAATTTATATAAATACATATGAATCTCACACTCACCGATTGAGCATAAAACGCTTCGGGTGAGCATATGACACATGGACCTCCTATGGACTGGGCCATTGTTGAAGTGTAAGAGGAGTCTGGGGAAGAAAATATTGTACAGTACTGTTGTAAACACAAAGTAAAGCTATTAATTGCTCTAGGCCTAAATGCTATATGTATACTCGAAAAAAGTATAGCTGTCATGACAACAAAGATAGCTTTCTGGATATTTTCTACGCAAACCTAAAATAGCTCTGGAAAAGTTGGGTAGGTGCATATTTGATGTAATTGTCAAGTTATAAAGAAGACCTTGTGGTCAAAATTGATAGCTTACGTTTGATAAAGATTCATATTAAACATTACAATAAATGTTTTATTGAAATAATTCCAAAAGTCCATTCCAGTGGATGATAAGTCGAAAAATGACCATCAGATGCGTGAAAAACGCTTGATACCGATGTTTATGGCGGGGTAGATGAAACAAAAATATGATAATCTTTAAATATACCTAGAAGAAGTCTCATATTGTTTGAAGTAGTTTTATTATCAGTAAGAAAACGTATATAAAAGACATTTTTTGTCTAAATGTGCAGACAGGAACTTCGAATGATCCAAACAAATATAGCTAGTGATCCAAATCTAGTAGATTTTCGATTCGCACTTTGTATACAGTGTAATAGATGTAATAAGAATATTAAGTCCACCGAGAACCTGTTTTATACGTAATAACTCTCCTCATGCCCCTGTGCTAAAAATAGCGACATGCAATAAATACTAATAAAACAAACGGGGCGGGACACTTTGAGAGGGGTGAGAGAGGTTCTAGAGAGTTTTGATATAAAATAACATTGCAAAAGCTCAAAATCTTCTTGAAATGTCGCCCGCAAATGATAGTGTTTCATTCAGAGAGGATGTACAAATTTACGACCTTGCACTTTGACCTTTTGACCTCAAAATCAATAGGGGTCTTTATTAGGCCACAGACAGTTGTTATGCAAAATTTCATTGCAAAAGCTAAAAGGGTTCTCGAGATATCGCGCGGAAACGAAAGTGTTATAACAGACAGATTTTGCGAATTTATGACCTTGAACTTTGACCTTTTGACCTCAAAATCAATAGGGGTCTTCCTTAGGCCACAGGGAGTTGCTATGCAAAATTTCATTGCCAAAGCTCAAAGGGTTCTCGAGATATCGTGTGGAAACGAAAGCGTTACAGACAGACAGAAAGACGGACGGACGGACGGACATACCCAAATTAATATCCCCCATTTTTCTAGCGGGGCGGGGCACTTTGAGAGGGGTGAGAGAGGTCCTAGGGAGTTTAGATATAAAATTACATTGCAAAAGCTCAAAATCTTCTTGAAATATCGCCCGGAAATGATAGTGTTTAATACAGACAGAATGTATAAATTTATGACCTTGAACTTTGACCTTTTGACCTCGAAATCAATAGGGGTCTTCCTTAGGCCACAGGGGGTTGTTATATAAAATTTCATTCCAAAAGCTCAAAGGGTTCTTGAGATATCGTGTGGAAATGAAAGCATTATAAAAGACAGAATTTCCTAATTTATGACCTTGACCTTTGACCTTTTGACCTCAATATCAATAGGGTTCTTCTATAGTCCATAGGGAGTTGCTATGCAAAATTTCATTGCGAAAGCTCAAAGGGTTCTCGAGATATCGTGTGGAAATGAAAGCGTTACAGACAGACAGAAAGACGGACGGACGGACAGACGGACAGACACAAATTAATATCCCCCACTTTTCAAGCGGGGGACATAAAATCTCTTTTTGGTCCAGTGCAACATATGCACTCGGTGGTTTGTTGCAAACTTATCTCTAAGGGGTTATAACTCAACTGAACTTGTATCCACACAACATAAATTTTGCTCCATGTCAAAAAAACTATTGTACGAGATTGTCCTAAAAAGTCGTCGACAATGTAGATTCCTAAAAATATACACGAGGAATTATTTATCGCGTAATTTCGCGAGAAGCATCACTCGCGAAATAAAATTCTCGCTTTTTTCAATGGTGCTGAAATCAATGATAAATATAAGTTTAGACTTATCAAGTTAAACTTTTCTATCTTAATCAACCATCCACTCGCGAATAACTTAATCAACCATCCACTCGCGAATAATTGTTCTCACGATTTTAAGTTAAACAGCTATTTCGCGATAATAAGTACTCGCGAAAAAATAAGGAATCCACAGTATAACACATCAATATTCTGGATATGAAGATATTCAAAAAGTACCGTTCACAAGTTCATCTAGTTTTAAAAGATAATCTGAAACTTTAATTTTAATAAAATCTAAAATTTGTCTGTTGCATTACCCAGTTTTATCCATTGTTGAATATTTCTAGTTCTAAGCACTCACCAATGATACAACTGTCGGAACACTGCCCATATTCTGGAGAGAAAAAAAATATATTTCAGAAACACAAATACCTCCACATGAATACCTTCTAGATAGAGAAGAAATTGAGACATGTATAATTATACGGACCTGCAGTACGAAGCTCAGTGGCTACACAAACTGCGGATGATGGGTCTTCCTTCCACTTATTATTTTCCCCACAATGAAATGCTGCGCTTGCGCTCTGTCCCAGAGGACATTTGGGAATGTAAAAATTTCCCGGCAAACTGTAACTTCCGGCCTCACTTCCATTTTCCAGCCATGTCAATCCACCTTCTGTTGGGAGAAACCCACATCCTGCACAAAAGGACAAGAAATTCTATTAGACTGTATGAATTTCATCAAACATAATGGAATCACTGAATTACTTAAGTCCGTTCTTAGTTTATGATCGTAGGACCAGGTGTCTTTACCATTGTGGCACTTAATTCCTGATGGATTTTTGTTCCACTGAAGATTCTCTCCACAACGAACACTAAGATTACTGAAAGCACTGGTAGAAGGGCATTCCAGAATATATACCTCGTACACTGTACTGTTGCCTAGGATTGGTCTCCCTGATTTCGTTCTCCAGGACAAACTACCTGACACTGGTAAAGGACCACATCCTGTTTAAATTAAGGAATAGCTTCAATTTTTTTTGGTATTTATGGTGTGATCAAGTAAATTACTTAGTGATAATTTCGGCGTTTATGCATAAAATTATCGCGCAAGCCAACCTTCTTGATCATCAGAATCATCATTAAACCAAAAAGAGGCCCATAACGCATATGCCTAATTGCTCACCTGATCACTTTGAAATTTAAATACATAAGTGGTCCCAACCTATCCCTAAAGAGTGGAGTGATGATTTGATCAAACTTGAGTTTGCACTACCTGATCATGCTTATCAATATGACAAATCTCTTGAGAAGAAGATTTTTATAGATTTTTCTCGGTATGTATTCCTATGTAAAACTTTTGATCATCTATTGTGGCCCAACCCTACCCCAAAGAGGTTATAATTCGAAAAAAAAATCTGAATCTACACTACCCGAGGATGATTCCGATCACAGCTTCTAATTATCGTGAATAAGGGTATGGCCCTGTATTTGAATAAACTTGACTTCGCATCATCCAAGGAATACTTTGTGGTAAGTTTGTTTGAAATTGACCCAGCGGTTCTGGAGAAGAAGCCTAAAATGTGAAAAAATTACAGACGAACGGACAGCTAGACAGACGGACGGACAACAGACAAATTGTGACTAGAAAAGCTCAAGTAAAAATGCAGTAATAAGGCCACACCAATTTAATTTCTTGTTCGTAGGACATTTGATGAAAAAAAATACGAGCGGACAAGCGGTTAAATACTGATATAATTATTTCTGTAGACGATTTTTTTAGGCGGAAAGTGACAAAAAAATGAGCGGACAATTATATTTTTTTGATTTGCAGAGTCAGCAGAGGACAAATACGATGAATAGAGCGGAAATGGAACAGAAAATAGCATAGAATTTCCATGATGCGGGAAATTTAAATCAATATATTATTTGTATAGTTTTGTTTAAATACGAGCTCTCGATCGAGTCCGAGGAACAAACTACACAGTGTACATGTATTTTATTGGTGTGGCCTAAATTGAATTATATTATACAGTAAAATATTCTTTTAACGGAGAGTACGAGACAAACACTTAATTTTGCTTCGTTATAATTTTACGATCTAAATGTATGGGTTTTATTATTAGTTTATTATTTTATCATTAGCTTAGAGAAAGCATATCGAAACTATAGATAACAAGATATAAACAATAACGCAACTTTGAAATAGATTCAAATTACCTGGAATGATCCCTCCAGTAGCATTCTCCTTACAGAAAGGTTTAGGACCGTTGTTTGGCATGGTTTCAAAAAAGTTCTGGGTTATACAGTCTCCATTTTGAGTCTTTCGGTTCTCCTCGTCATTCATCCCTGTCGGACATGAGGTGCAGTATCCATGGTTTCCTCCGCCATCTTCGTAAAAACTTTACGGAAAATAGCAAGTACATAAATGAATGAAACATGAATAAAACAAAGTTTTAAAAAATGTCAATGTGCAAAAAATGTGAAATAAGAGGAAAGCAGCAATAAAAAAAAGTTTACCGATCCCTGTTCAAGTAAGCAACAACAGAACACTTTGTAATACAGAGTTGTAACATATAATCAGTAATAAATACCACATTAAGTAAGCAATAACAGAATATTGTTGTTTTTTTTTCATACAGAGTTGTAACCTAGATCAGTAATAAATGCTACACTAAGTAAGCAATAATAGAACACTGTGTAACATAGATTTGTAACACACAGATCAGTGGCACCCATAACATCAACATATGTCTAACAATACAAACTAGGGGACACAGGCCTTTTGATCGCTTACAAAAATTGAGATGTTAAAATATTTTATTTTTTTTTTACACACACAATTTTTTTAAGCAATCCAAAGGGCTGTGCTTAGTGATCAGTAATTTGAAGAACACTGAAAAGATCAGAAATAACAATGAGTATAACTAAGTATCACAGATCAACAACACTACTCTAATCAGTAACATTTACAACCCCAGTTTATACAGACAGTAATAGTACAAATGTTAAATACTAACTTACAGAAATAAGCACCAAAGACTTAATAACGCGGTACAGAGGCACTTACAAACCAAAAAAGTTTATATAGTGTTTCCCCCTTTGATAGATCAATGAAACTTGCATCGGTTTAACAGATCATTGCACTTACAATCTTCCAGTTTCATTGTCTTCTAGCGTAAATCTGTAGGAGGAGGTCTGATTCAAACACAATATCCCAAAGAGGAACAACAATCTCATTGCTGTGAAAAATTCAAATTTTAAAGTTATTGCATATTGCTTATGTTATGTCAATTAGGGAAAAATGTCTTTTTTAAAAAATAATAAAGAAGGTGAGCGAACAAGGCGAGCGAAATGCCTAGGGTGCGACAAACATAAAGATGAAAATGGAATCTCAAATATATCTCGAATAGAGGTTAGCATGATAGTCTCAAAGCAGTATGGCATATAGGAGTTTTATTGGTATGGTTCAAATTCCACGAATTCCACATTTTTAAATATAAAAAATAAAAAAAGAATAATTTTTGGTGAAATTTTTCTTCTCGAAAATAATTTTAAACCACAATATCACAAACTTAATACATGTATGCTTTTCTTTTATATATCTGAAGCGATAGGCATTCTGAATGCCTGGTAAATCCATCTTCTTTTTGGGAATCACAGAGGCGATGGATGATGTTGTCCCCCAGATATCTACTTTTTAATGAAACAAGCTAATTCAGAGAATTTGTGTCCCTCGCTTAGGGAAAAAGTAAACCATGCGGAGTTCTACTGTTCGGAGGGAAGGGGGAGTCGGATCCCCCTGACTGAATTTGTAGAATTATTAAATGTATACATGTATTTCTTCAAAAGAAAATTAAAAGAATTTATTTAATAATTCAATGTAACAAAAGCACACTTATGAATGCAAGATGTTTAACTAATATGTAGGAACAGAAACATGCACAAAACCTTAAACATTTCGAATTCTTTAATATTCTTTTTAAATGAGCTTGAATTATTATATACATGTATACACATAAAAAGCTTTTGTGAAATTGAACTGTTTAATTATGATAAATTAATTTAACTGTAGTGCTTAATGTTGTTTATTTATTGACCGAATGTCCTTTTCGAGGACAAACTGGAATAAGAGGCCACCTGTCTTAAGTGGCCAGTTTCCAGACTTCCCAAAGGTGGCCTCTTAAAACAAGTTTGACTGTATACTGAAGCAAACAAAATATGCCAATATGGATATAAAGATTTGATTGCTTATTCTTTATTATGTGTATAGAAGATTCCTTTAATATGGAATATTTGTCACACTGTAATGATGATTTTATGAGTTTGTACAAACCAGACCTCATAACTTTTTTGAATACTGTCATTTAGTAAAAAAAGAAGTATTTCGGAAAAAAAAGAAAATGGACCGTCCGGGATTCGATCCCGGGACATCTCACATGTGAAGCGAGAGATATACCATTAGATCACGGAACCGCTTTCAAATGATGGAAATTCTATTGTATATATATATATATATTCACGTTCGATATTGTCAAAATTTTACACAATGCATGGTGTTTAATTAAAGCGGCAATACGGCTGCAAATCGTGTGCTTTTTCATTCAAATTTACCCAATATATCATTCATACGGAAGCGTATTAGGGCCGCAGCAGTATCTTTTATTAATTTGTTTTAACAAATTATCAATTTGTTATAACAAATTAGTAAATTGTTATAACAAATTGATAATTTGATATAACAAATTATTAATTTGTTCTAACAGATTACTAATTTGTTATAACAAATTATCAATTTGATATAACAAATTATCAATTTGTTAAAACAGATTAGTAATTTGATTAAACAAATTAATAATTTGTTTTAACAAATTATCAATTTGATATAACAAATTATTAATTTGTTATAACAAAATATTAAATTGTTACAACAAATTACTAATTTGTTATAACAAATTAATAATCTGTTATAACAAATTATTAATCTGTTATAACAAATTACTATTTTTGGACATTTGACATGTACACAGAACTATGGAATCTATATCAGATTAGAAATCTTTAAAACATTGAATTAGTGAAACAATAAGCACACGCTCTGCAGAGCTTTTGACCTATATGTTTCTTTCAGTAGCTCAGAGTTTTCTTTTCAAACATCAATGTCATGATAAATTGCATCAAAGTCCTTGATGTAATGTAATTTTATACCAAAACTCCCTAGGACCTCAAAATAAATAGGGGCGGGACACTTTGAGAGGTTCTAGGGAGTTTTGGTATAAAATTACATTGCAAAAGCTCAAAATCTTCTTGAAATACGGCCCGGAAACGATTCTGTCTGTTATAACACTTTCGTTTCCGCGCGATATCTCGAGAACCCTTTGAGCTTTTGCAATGAAATTTTACATAACAACTCCCTGTGGCCTAAGGAAGACTCCTACTGATTTTGAGGTCAAAAGGTCAAAGTCTAAGGTCGTAAATTTATACATTCTCTCTGTGTGTAACACAATCCTTTCTGGGCGATACCTGGTATTTCAAAAAGATTTTGAGCTTTTGCAATGTAATTTTATACCAAAAAGTCTCAAAGTGTCCTGCCCCGTTTGTTTTATTAGTATTTATTGTATTACATGTCGCTATTTTTAGCACAGGGGCCATGAGGAGAGTTATTACGTATAAAACAGGTTCTCGGCGGACTTTATATTCTTAATACATCTATTAGAACTGTTTAATAAAGGTTAAATTAAACACCATGCATTGTGTAAAATTTTGACAATATCGAACGTGAATATATACATGTATGTGACTTTATCTTTGCATATAATTCACGTCAAGTTGAGTGGTTTCGCTCTCGCTTCACATGTGAGAAAGGTTCCGGGTTCGCATCCCGGACGATTCAATTTCTTTTTTTCCGAAATACTTTTTTTTACTAAATGATAGTATTTAGCATGAGAAATGAAAAAATTATGACTCACTTCCCCCTCCGCCCGAACTGCGCATGGTTTACTTTTCCCTAAGCGGGGGTCACAAATTCTCTGAATTAGCTTGTTCATATTAATTGTTAGTCAATTATTTATACACTGAATTGACGGATTTTCCTGTTATTTCCCGATTATGACAAGGAGCACACGGAAGGTGTGACCGGTCGGCAGGGGATGCTCACACCTCCATGGCACCTGATACTAACTCTGATGTTTTGGAGGTCCGTGTTTGCTCTGCTCCTATTTTGTATTGTTTTATGGAGCTTGTTATGGATCTTGAATATTGTTTTTTTTATCTCCATATGTTTTCTTCGATATTAATTTAAAATATTTCAGATATATATCTAAAAATAACATTGATATTCGGGAAAATGTGATCAAATTATATTTATATTATGATGTATATGAAACATACCTTTGAAATCACTTCCATCAAAAGCGGAAGATTTGGAATGTATTTTACCAAATGAATATCAAACTTCCTTTCTCAAGGAAATTTGTACAGAACATGCATATGAATATATATTTTTATTTGAAACTAGAGGTACTGTGAGCAATAAGCTCGCTAAATGATAACCCCCGCCTCCCATAATGTCCATGTGTTGCTATATATTGTTTTACGGTAATGTGTAAAGAGGAATAACTCGTCCTATCAAATGTTATCCAGAAGCTTCTATATGTGACGTCATAGGTAAACATCTAATGGCAATGTCCATGTTTTGCTACGTGTCGAAATACGTGTCGAATAAAAAAGTAAAATAGGAGGTGCACAGTGGCAATTTGTCATAAAGATTCTGTGAAAGTTTCATTAAATTTCACTCAGTAGTATTAGAAAAGTTGCAGATGGACGGACGGACGGAAATCCCGATTACTATATACCCTCCCACTTTTCAAGCGGGGGGGTATAACTAGAGGTACTGTGAGCAATGAGCTCACTAAATGATATCCCCCGCCTCCCATATGGTTAAATAACTGATGGCAATGTCCATGTTTTGCTGTGGCCGGGAAACCCAAAATATGTGTCGGATCAAAAAGTAGAATAGGAGGTGCACAATGGCAATATGTAATAAAGATTTTCTGAAAGTTTCATTAAATTTCACACAGTGATATAAGAGGAGTTGCGGATAAGAGATGGGTACCCTAAAGCGTAACAGACAAACGGGACGGACGGACATACCGATTACAGTATACCCTCCCACTTTTCAAGCGGGGGGTATAATAAAGATGAGTTTAAGTCAGGTTATTTATCTACTCCTATAGTATTCGATTGATTTGATAATATTTTATAACCTTTTGCAAATGTTCTAGATAACAAGAGGCCTATGGGCCACATCGCTCACTTGAGTTCTTTTGCCAGGAAAAAAAAGCAGAAATCAGTTCAGTATTGAAAAGTTAAATACCTATAAATGTGGTCGGTGGGAGGGGATGGGGTGATCTGAACAAACTTGTATCTACAAAACCTGAAAATGTTTCTTAATTAATATGACTAACAGTTTTGCTTTTCTTGAGAAGAAATTTTTAAATCTTAAAATTCCTTTGCATACCTTTGATCCTATGTTTTGCCCCTCTATACTCCCGGGGGAGGGAGTTTCATGATTTGAACAAATTAGAATCTACACTACCTAAGAATGCTTCCAAATAAATACTAGTATAACTTATCACAGATTTGCTGTTCTGATGAAGATTTTTATAATTTTCCCTATTTGTTCAATTCCTTTGTAAAACATTGATCACCCATTGTGACCTCACCCTATTCCTGGGGGTCTTGATTTGAACAACCTGAGGATGCTTCCATATAAATATGACCAATCTTAGCTTTGCTGTTCTTGTGGATTAATTTATAAATTATCCAACGTTTCCAACCCCGGCAAACCCCAAAAAACCAGAAAGTGATTCTTTATGTGAAAAAATCTTAACAAAAAAATCTTAACATAATTTTTCGAAAGCTGTCTAAAAGATTTTTGAAAAAAAGACTTCTCGTGTTAATTTTAGAAGCCCCGTCTACTGACGTAAGGCTCAAAGACATCCGCACGAAATTGACCTTACATTTGGCCAGTTTACCAGTTTATTAATATCTCTTTGGTTGTTAATTAACAACATATAGATCATAGCTCCTTGCATTATTCTAACTCTTTTTGAACCTGGCGGCGAGGCATAACATTTTATGTAAAATGCATTTTCTAATTTTAAAAGTTTACTCAAATATACTAGTATATAATATAAACACATTTCTGATTGTTTTTTTCTGCGATGACTTTTTGAAAGTT